TACTATATACTACTATATTATACTAACTGTGACATTTCACAACATTAACCACTAGTTTTATTTTCAAAGCCTAACCCGACAGATTAATTCTTGCTAACTTGAGTCCAACTCGTGCAGAAACGATGCTAAAGCAGAGCATGAAAAAGCAACGCCACGGTGTCTTGACAAACCGTCCTTATGTTGACGCCCTGGGATGAGAATGGGTTAAAACAACATGTACGAAATGTTGGAAAGTAACCCGTCCAGCTGCAGGCGTACCGGTGTGGTAAACTTTGTGAAACGATGGTGGTGTGGTTGGATTTAGGGAAAGATCGTGGTTCAGTTAAAATAACTCCATTACTTAAGTCATCTAAAAACTGTTATTCTGACACAAGGTTATATAAACAAGCTTGACTTGGTAACCTGGCGTCCAGTTAATGGGACAGGATGATGGACATCGCAGGTTTAATGGTGAAATCAAAAGGATCCCGTCGTCTCATTGAGTCAAACACGGACGCCGGCTTCCTCCCGAACGCTCAGTTTCATGTGGTGTGTTTTGTCAGATGGAGCAACATCTCTCGCCAGCGTCGTCGCTTAGCAACAGCATCGACTTCCTGGAACTGAAACTTGAATCTGAAAATAGATGCAGGGCAAACAAGAGGAGGAGGATGACGATGACTCTGTTCAGAACTCCATTCATATATCTACTGATTCTAAGAGTTTTTAGCTCTGAGCTTCACCTGCAGGACTGAGCTCACCTGTCTGCTGGGAAGATGTTTGCACAGTGTCCCACCTGCTCCGTCTCACTTCTTAAAGCTCTTTGTTTGGTTTTCTCTCAGCAGACTGGTGAGCTGATTTAAACAGTTCCAGTGGGATTTGAATTTTGTCCTGCCGACCAAATCATCCTTAAATCTTTAGATGGTTTGCTTCGCACAGAGAGACCTTGTTTTGTTTTCCAGGAGAGTTTCAGTCTAGTTTTTTTATGGTTTGCATCAGATAGTTTCCAACAATGACAGTTTTTACAGCAAAATCAATACAACACCCACACAAACACTGTAGGAGCTGGAGGGAGATTTGTTATTCCCTTTCCTCTACAGCAACTAACAACTTCATGCCTAACACAGCAGCGTGTTAATCCTCACCATAACCAAGTCGTAACGCTGATACTGGTTCACTCTTGTCCCCAAACAGGCAGAAAGTGTCTAATGGGATTTATAATTTAAGCTTGAATTCTGAAGGTGTGTGTTTTTAATGCTACCTCTGCGTATTCATCGGTCTCTCTACATGGATTTTTGAGGCGGCACATTTGAAAACGTAGAAATGAATAATTATGTTTCAGATTACGAGACATTGTTAGACGCTAAAGCTGATAAAGATCATGGGTCATCGGTCTCTGAACTTCACAACTTTTACTCCAATCAAACCTCCTTATGGATCAAAAACGGAATTATTTTACATTAAGATTAGTTTCTATGCATGACGCCGAAAGAGAACGAAAAACATGACTGACTGTGTGCACACAGACAAACCCTCAGCACTAACCTTGGTGGGATTTAAGAAGAATTTTAATGAAAACAAATGACTTCAGTATACGTTACTCGTTAACTTTGTTCCTGTCCGGCTAGATCAGATGATGATCTGTAAAAACTGATGTTTTCACCTTTTTTTGGGGCATTTTTAACATTTTCCTGAAAATCTTTTGTTCAGAGAAGATGAGTTTCAGAGATTGTTTACTGGAACAAGCTACCTAATAACACTGGCAATGTATTTTAGTTTACACGCAGAAATATATAGATATAGAAAGTCCAAAACCGAGAAGAAACCGTATAAATCCAGGAGACAAGGTGAAGCAGTCCAAAAACAAAGCACGAAACGAGACCCTGGAAACAACGCTGGGTGAACAGACGACATACGATAATGAGACTGAGACTTAAATACCTAAAGGGATGGAGATAACGAGACACAAGTGAAACACATCAGGGCAGGTGCAAACATCAACCCAGAAACACAAGGACGGGAAGTAAAAGCAGACAGTGGCACCAGGGACAGAACGATTTCAAAATAAAACAGGAAACAAGAAACACCAGCGACCCAGAACTGAGCAGCGGTGCAGGAAGTACTCATATCTCTTACTAGTAAAGATAGTATTACCACAGTGTAGAAATACTCTGTTACAAGTAAAAGTCCTGCCTTCAAATACTTAGTTAAGTAAAAGTACAAAATATACTTAAAGTACCAAAAGTAAAAGTTCTCATTATGTAAATGATTATTTATAATTATTCATGTGTCCATCACTTTAATGTTGCAGCTGGTGAAGGTGGAGCTACTTTTAATGATTTCATACACTGCTGTGTATTTTTATCTGTAATAACACATCATATTTATTAGTGGATTTATATTTTGTGTGTTTTAATAATCTAAATCTTAAAAGTAACTGATGTCAAATAAATGTTTTGCTCCTGAGACGTACTACAGTACAAGTATAAAGTAGCATAAAACGTAAATACTCAGGTGAAGTACAACCTCTTTAGTGTACTTAAGTACAGTGCTTGAGTAAAAGTGCTTAATTAATAATTAATTTCCTCCTCTGAAGTCAGACTGTGGACAAAAGCTCTGCTGCAGAGATGAAGAACTGAAATCTGATTCCTCCAGTTTATTGATCGGATTATTGATCACCAGGCAGGCAGACATTAGATTGTAACTGATCTCCCCTCAGGGACAGAGGGAGATCTGGGTCTTCTCTGGAATCTGGTCTAAAGCACGATGAAGGGAGTCTACTGATGGAGGAGCAGTTTGGTGTGAGATTTTACACCGATGATTTACACCCGTTGGCATGAGTTTGTAACGCTTAGGGTCACATCTCAGCGCACCGGGGGAATCCCTGTAGCATAATTTTACATTTATTCATTTAGCCGACGCTTTTATCCAAAGCGACTTACAATTGCTATACATGTCAGAGGTCACACGCCTCTGGAGCAACGAGGGGTCAAGTGTCTTGCTCAGGGACACAATGGTGGATGGGTCACAGTGGGGGATTGAACCTGGGTAAGGCGTTTGTCTTATCCATTACCCATTTTTAGGGGAAGGGTTAGGTGGAAGCGTTTGGGGTGGATGGTTGGGCCAGAAACCGGACTTTCAGTCAGGAGACCGGTTTTCATTCCCGCGTGAAACAAAAATAAGTTACGCAAGTTACGTGACTTGACTCAGGTAAGCTAAGTCACTCATTTTTAACCTAAACCATGATGTTTTCCTAAACCTATCCAAGTAGTTTTGGTGCATAACCCTCTCCAAATTGCGCCGTTTCAACACATTAACCACAAGTTTTATTTAGTTTAACCGGACGTTGCATAGTTGTGGTTGCCTATGACCTACACGTCGGAAACCAACGCTATAGAGTACCCAGGGCGTTAAAAAGCGGCACCAAGGGGTCTTGACCAAGCGTCCATATGTGACTACGTGGGAGTGATATTTTAGTTTTAGAAACTCATTAAATGTTTTCTGTGTAAAAGCTGCAACTGTGTGAAACGTTTAATTTGAGTTGATAGTAAGCATTTAATAAATGAGCGTTTGTGTTTAGGACTGAGTGACAGAGTGAGAGGTTGTCTTCCTTCTTGTGACCTGCTGGCGACATAAAGCAGGCTGGAGGTGTCCGTGTTAACATCAGAAACAGTCAGCCAGCGTATTCATTATTCAGAGTCACCAGACACCAGCAGTGATCAATACGGGATCAATACCTCAACAGTATTTCTGCTACTATATTCTGCTACCTCACCACATCTCAGAGGCAAATATTTTTACTGCTCTACATTTATCTGACAACTTTTCAGCTTCAGATTTTATATAAAACATAAAATAAGCTTAAAAAAAAAATGAAACGAAAGTGAAATGCTGCTCGAACATTCACAATCTAATATAATTAACCAGCCAGAGGGGACATTTTACTGCAGAACAAGTACTTTGATTCTCTAAGTACATTTTGTGGAAAAATACTTTTTAAATTTTAAATCTTTGGTTGCCGGAGTTTTACTTCTAGAAAGGTAGTTTTTTTTATACTTTTACTTAAGCAGAGGACATTAATACTTCTCTCAGCTCTGATAATGAGGCGTTCATAACAGAGAAATGGAGAAAGTGTTTGATTGGTAGATTTCTAATTATTTTATAGCTACTAATTAATTTCAAGCGTAACTTAGGGAGTGTTTTATTTAGTGCACATGCAACACGTTCCCAGTCCCGACTCGTCACATATTGACGGTTCGTCGAGGCCGTTTGGCGTCGCTTTTAGACGTTAAGGGCTCCGTGGTCAAATTAGTAACGCTCAGCAACAACAAATATGTAACGTCCCATTAGACTTTCAAAATAAAACGCTAGCATTTCCAAACTTTACCATTTTGAAACGGTACGTTAATAAAGCCGTGAAACCTTGCAATTGGTTTGGTTTAGGCAACGTACTACTTTCTGAAGGTTAGGAAAAGATCTTGGTTTAAGTTAAAATAACTACATACGTCAGTTAACACATAACTAACACTAACTTACGTCACTTGCGTAACTTAAATAAAAATATTTAATGTTGACTTTTTGGTTTAAATGGAACACAAACCCCGGTCTCCTGGTTCAAAGTCCAGGTTCTGGCCCACCATCCACCCCAATCACCTCCTTTTCTGTTAATTATCATTTACCATTAAAAACTGACGCTACAGGGATCCCCAGTGCGTCACAAACTGACGCCGATGGGTCCTGATGCGTCCATATGTGACGAGTCGGGGAGGGAGAACGGCTCAGCTGAATGTGCAGTTTGTGTCTACAAGCGATTCCAATAATGGATCATAATTCACATGTGTATAATTAGTGCTTCCTCAGAAATAATGTGGAAATTACAAACTGCAGCAAGCCTCAGATGTGCTTTTGTAAAACCATTTTTACAAACTTTACTGTTTCTTCTGTTTGTTTGCAGCTTCCGGCGCTCTGTCTGACCTTCTCCTACCATATTTGTTTTTTTAAACGTACGTATCTGTGTGTTCCAGGTATTGATCGGGCCGGAGAGCCCTGAAGAGCCAACAGATGCAGACATGATCCCATTTTCTCCCTGAGGTATGAACACTCAGACACTGTATTTCACTGTGAGTGTGTGTTTCAGTGTGTGCAGGTCTTTTCCCGTCACTGACCGCATGTTACCCAGACTTCCACGTGTTTATGTGTGTGTGTGTGTGTGTTGGACAAAGCTTCGGCCTCTGGAATGATCCCTTTGTGTCCGTCGGTCACGTCGGACAATGCCGAGCTGGCAGCTTCACTGTCTGAGGTCTACAAGCACACAATGCTGTGATGAAACACACACTCCCATCAGTTAGTCTTCTCCAGATGTTTCAGATGGAGTTTCCTCTGATCTGGAATAAACATTTCAGCACAAACACTGAAAGGCAGAAGTGAAACCAGACATAAACACAGCTTCAACTCTGATTAAAACCAGGAGACTGACTTGGTTTTTCAGACTCGGTGGCTCCTAATGAGTCTTAACGACTGAGGCGTAAGCTACCAGTGTCTTATCTAACAGTAACTGCGTCCAAACCGCCGCCTTGATGTCCCCCTGCCTTTTTAAAACACACCTCAGCACAGTTTTGTTCTCTAAATATTGAAACTTAATGTTAAATTATTTATTTATTCAGATGATGCAGATGAATCGTCCTTCATACTGTGTCACATCGTGTTGACTTCAGATCAGCAGCTGTGGTGTATGTATCTGGTCCAGCAGCCGCCCGTCATAGAAAGCCTCTGCAGCATTTTTCTGTTTTCCAGCTGACTCACGAACGCACACACACACACACACACACACACTGTCAGCTGGTGAACAACTCACCTCCCCCGTTTGTCATTTACTCTCCGTTTTACTTGCAGTAAACTGTAATAAATATATTGTCTCACATATCAGTAATATAATAACCATGTCTTTGTCTCTCCCTCAGGAACTGACCAATCAGCAGTCAGGATGATGCCCAAGGTAAACACTGTTTTCACTTCCCTGTGATTCTGAAGCTGTTTAAAGTGTCGTCATATTATTTTTTCTTTATCTGCCAGCTATGATGGTGGACTGTGTGGGAGGAAGGGAGAGTCTTAAAATCTCTGAGATTTCTATTTTCAGCACCTGAGAGTAAAAAATTAAGATTTTAATAGTGAAGTTTGGCACAGAGGAGCTTGATCAGGAGGATGTTGATCATTTTAAATGGTAACTCAACCTTCTTTTAGCACAGTCACTTTATGAAATGATGTATTGATCCTCGTCTTGTTTTATACGGTTTAGTATTGACAACATAAGTTATCAGTGCCCAGGCATGAAACATGCGAAATGCATGTTTCTTGTATGTTTTGGCGACCTAAACATGCTCAAAAGCTCATGAAACTTTGCACAAAATTCAAGCATTTTGTGGCACGTGTTATCAGACCTACGAAAAAGCCTCTGGGAGCGATGCCCCCTTTAACGGTCTTTGGTTTTTTTTCAGATTCACAGGCTCCGCACTTTAACAAACTCCTCTTAGATAATTAATCCAATCGACTTCAAATTTTTCCTGTTCAATCTTAAGGGATTGATAATAAAAAGTTGTGCTATCTGTGAGTTTTCGTGGAAGGGCGTGTCTGTGGGATGGTGTCAAAAATTGATGATTCGCCATGAAACAGGAAGTTGTTAAAACTTCAGTGTACATGCTCACATCTGCACCAAACTGTACATGTATGATAACAGTCCTGTCCTGAACACATTCACATGCCAACATTCACTGACAGTCATAGCGCCACCTGCTGGCAACAGGAAATGACACATTTTATGCCATAATCAGGGGAAAACTGCATTTTCATACACCCTGGGCATAGAATAATTTGCAAACAGATCTCAAATTAGAAACGTGTATATCAACTGATTAATTTAAGAGCGTCATAAAGAATGTGTTGAAGGAGACGTGGTTGTTTTTCTTCTTCTTTGTTCGAATGGCTTTACTTTTGGTTAGTGTTTTTTGTTTATTGTGAATTTGGTCGCATTTTAATATGTTGTGTTTATGTACGGCTGCTACCTCAGCCACGTCTCTCTTGTAAAAGAAATTTTTATCTCTATGGGTTCCTGGTAAAATAAAGGTAAAATAAAAAATAAAAATAAAATCTACAACTCCTGGCAGGTTGACCATATCCACTTCAAACCTGTCTCAGAAAAACCCTAAACACGTAATAAATGTATTAATTTATGTATTAAGGAAGTTTTTCCTTGCCTCTGTCTCCTAGTGCTGCTCTTGGTGGGAACTGTTGGGTTTCTGTAAATAACATCATAGAGTACGGTCTAGACCTGCTCTTTTATGAAAAGCGCTGTGAGATAACTGTTGTTGTGATTTGGCGCTATATAAATAAAATTGAATTGAATTGAATTGAAATTGAATTGAATTTTTGAACAACTGCACAACAATGACCATTACGGGCTCACAGGGCTGCTAGCGTGGCTGTAAACTCGGGTTACATTTAAGTGAGTGGTTATTTCTCTGAGCAGAAACATAAATGATCCTCATTGATTCCTTCATTAGCTGAAGTTTTCTCTCATTTGGCTGAATATCAGTTTGTGGTTGACCTCTGACCTCTGTGTTTGTGTCAGCAGCAGCTGGCCCAGACGTCTCCAGGGAGTGTGTTGTCTCTGAGAGGGCCCAGCGTCCCAGGATCCCCTGCGGCCGCCATCGTGGTGAGACTCACAGCTGGGAGTTGTATTATCCCTCAGATTAATCTTGAGGCAGTAATCTTTAATCCCCCCCCCACCTCCTCTTTCTCTATCAGGCCAGAGTGGAGGACGGGGTTATTTGCTACAAGGACTTGGCGGCGTTACCTAGAGACAAAGCCATCCTGGATATCGAGAGGCCAGACCTGATGATCTACCAGCCGCACTACAGCTACAGTCCACTGGAGGTGAACACCTACACCGTCCTGCTGCCCCAAATACTCACTACAGCAACACAATGCAGCATTACCTCCTTTTTGTTTGATAGAAACTACAGCGAGCAGCTGGAAATTCAATTCAGTTCAATTCAAATTAGCTTTACTGGCACGAATGTAACAACAGTATTGCCAAAGCTTCATACAAACTATATAAGGTTGATGGAAATGACATTAAACTATATATTTGTGAGGTGTTTCATGCCTGTGTGTGACACTGAGAGACGTCCAGGATGTGTTTAGCTTGGTGTAGAGGAGCAGTGGCGGCAGACGCCGGCTGGTCTGACAGTCCGTTAGTTTGCCGGTTGGTTGGCCGTGCGTCCGGCTGCGACATGAGACATCAATCTGCTGCTTAGAGGCCGGACAGCTCGTTACCACAGCTGAGAGTCAAAGCGTGATAACAACAAGGAAGGCAGACAAAGAGATCAGATTTTCCAGAGGCCGGCCTGCCTGTGTGAGTGTTTATGTGTCTAGAAGCCAGCATACAGCAGCTTCTGAGTAAAGGCGCATTATTTACAGCTCAGTTAAAGTGTCCTGGTGACCTACTGATGACAGACATGTAACCGCTATGTTGTCAGGAAAGGCTGGTGCTCAAAGAAAATGCAGCCTTCTGGAAACAACTGGAACATGTTTTGATCCTCTGTGTACCCAGTGTACGGCAGCCGTCTTGTTTACGCCTCTGGGCAGTTATTTCGTACTAAGATCAGGCCTCTATCTAAATAAATGTAACTGCACTTTCATTGGTCTTAAAACCTGCATGTATAGAATCAGCAGTAAAATCTGAAAAGTTGCATTTAAAATCCTACTTATTTTACATTATGTAAGGAAGCTCACTAACTTTTTGCTGAAATTGAATAGGCCTGTGCAATGCAGAATAAACATTTCATGATATTTATTTTATAATTGTTATTGGGAGTTTCATTTATATATATTTTATAAACTCTTCTTATGGTTTGTGTGTAAAAATATATAAAATAACTGAAGCTGTCAGATAAATGTAGTGAAGTTAAAAGTACAATATTTCCCTCTGAGATGTGGTGGAGTAGAAGTAGAAAGTGACAAGAAAAGGAAGTACAAGTACCTTAAATTTGTACAGTACTTTAGTAAATGTACTTTGGTTTAGTGACGCAGCGTTAAAGAAATACACAAAGGCTTTGAAAGCACTTCTTCACGTCAGAGTTGAGTACGTGTTGAGATCTGTGTTGTTCTGTCACGCTCTGAATCTATTTATATGTTTGAGTGTTTAATCTATTTTTATGTTCTCTCCTGCAGAGGTCTTTGTCTCCTCGCTCCATCTCTCCTCCTACCTCCCCGGAGGTAAGACCCTCCTACCCCCAAAGTTTGTCTTAAAGTTTAGTGAGCAGGTCAGAGTTCAGAGCAGCTTGACAATCGAAAGGCGAATGATCGTAGATGATCAGTGACCTGAAGGGAAAACTGAAAGCAAAAGAAAGTATCTTCATAAATTTACTGACACGCAGCCAGAGGTGGGACGTAACTAAAATCTAAAAGTACTAGTAAAGGTCTCAGGTTAAACTCACTCCACCTGTCTGACTGCTGTGTTCCTCTGTTTTCCAGAAGGAGTCCAGGGACTGGCTGGAGAACCGGTCTCCTGGAGGTTCCTCCCCTGGTTCCACCATCCAGACCAGCAGAACACACAGCACACACACGCCGCCCACACCGAACACACCAAACACGCCGCACACACATTCCACTGGAACCAAGATCGCCATGCAGCACTTCCACAGGCCCGGTAACGACGTGTTTCTTTGTCTTTTGTTTTATTTTCAGCGTTGTGTTTTGTTCTGTGTTCACAAGTAAAGATGTTACGCTGCAGCCATGTGGGGCAAACCGTCAGACGTCATGTAACGCAGAACCATGGCGGACGAAAGAAAAGGCTTTTTATTAAAATGCGTATTGCATATTAATTGATTGCTCACAGGTAACTTTAAATATAGAGGGAACCTCCAGGTCTTAAAAGTGACACCTGCGTCCTCTCTAGCAGCCAGCAGGGGGCGACTAAAATTAGCATCTCAGCTAATATCACAGTAACATGAATTACAGATGCACCTAGACTAAAATTAGTACATTTTAACTGTCTAACAACGACATCGGTAATCTATATCAGCCAGGCTTTAGTCTCTGCTCTCCTTTTTCTTTTCCCTCATCTGAACTCCTTTATTTCCTTTCAGAAAATGGCACCAACATCTACAAGAAGCCTCCCATCTACAAACAAGGTGCGTTACTCAGACATTTAACGCTATCGTTTGTTGTTTCCGTCCCTCTGGGTTTGTCAATAAACGCCACGGGCGCTCAGGAATATAAGACGAGGTGTTTTGACACGTGTCACATGCAGCTCCTGTGTGACGACAACTAGCTAATAGTACGACCAAAAGCCAAAAGTTTTCATACAAAATCTAAAGACCAAAATAAATAAGAGCAAAAAGATTCTGAAACGCTCAGTCGTCACAAATGGACGCTTGGTCGAGACCCCTTGGAGTTAATGTGTCAGACATCGGACAAACCATGAAGTAGTTTTGGTGCCTAAACCTAATCTTTACTAGTGGTTTTATTTTGAAAGTCTAACCGAACGTTGCATATTTATTGTTGCTAACTACTGCACTTCCAAAACGACACTAAAGGGCGTTAAACAGCGACGCCAAGTGGCCTCGACCAAGCCTGTGTGTGACAGAGCGGGTTTATAGTTACATACTGTAAAGAGTGTTTTACCAGCAGAAGACAGTTTGCTCATGTTTAGCATGCTAACTTATCTACTGATCGAACATTTATTTGCTAAACATCATAAGCACATTTCCCAAATCCCATTTTAAAATGTGTCTAAAACAGAGTCTGATGTCGTGAGTCATGCAGTCAGAACAGATCTGAATGTGGGTCGGCTGCAGCCCCCCTGCGGACCACAGACATGATGTCACTGCGTTTAATCAGCTTTAATGTGTGTGTGTGTGTGTGTGTGTGTGTGTGTGTGCGTGTGTGTGTGTGTGTGTGTGTGTGTGTGTGTGTGTGTGTGTGCGCGTGTGTGTGTGTGTGTGTGTGTGTTGTGCACAGATGTGTCGTCCTCTCAGGTCCCTCAGGGGAAGCACATCGAGGATCTGATCATCGAGTCCTCAAAGTTTCCTGCAGCTCAGCCTCCAGACCCCAACCTGCCCTCCAAGATAGAGACCGAGTACTGGCCCTGCCCCCCCTCCTTGGCCGTGATTGGTACGACCCAAACCAACACACACAAAAACACACTAAAACGTAAAACACACCTCGTGCTGTGTTTAGGATTTATTGGAAAGATTTCGCTCCTCTCCATCAATTAATTTCCTCTCATTTTTTTTCGGGTTTCCTTTCCTTTTTCCTTTTCTCTTCTGTCTGTCTCACCTTTTTTCATTTTCTCTCCTTGTTCCCTCTTCTCCTTAATCTTTGTTTCCTCTCCTCTCCCCCTATTTCCTCCCTCTTCTATCCTTGTTTCCTCTCCTCTTCTATCCTTGTTTCTTCTCTTCTGTTCTTGGTTTTTCTCCTCTGTCTTTGTTACCTCTCCCATGTCCTTGTTTCCTCTCCTCTGTCCTTGTTTCCTCTCCTTTGTCCTTGTTTCCTCTCCTCTTCTATCCTTGTTTCCTCTCTTCTGTCCTTGGTTTTTCTCCTCTGTCTTTGTTACCTCTCCCATGTCCTTGTTTCCTCTCCTCTCCCCCTATTTCCTCCCTCTTCTATCCTTCTTTCCTCTCCTCTTCTATCCATGTTTCCTCTCCTTTGTCCTTGTTTCCTCTCTTCTATCCTTGTTTTCTCCCCTCTTCTATCCTTGCTTCCTCTCTTCTGTCCTTGGTCTTTCTCCCATGTCCTTGTTTCCTCTCCTCTCCCCCTATTTCCTCCCTCTTCTATCCTTGTTTCCTCTCCTCTATCTTTGTTTCCTCTCCCTTTGTCCTTGTTTCCTCTCTACTGTCCTTGTTACCTCTACTCTATCCTTGCTTCCTCTCCTCTGTCCATGCTTCCTCTCCTCTGTCCTTGTTTCCTGTCCTCTTCTATCCTTGTTTCCTCTCCTCTGTCCTTGTTACCTCTACTCTATCCTTGTTTCCTCTCTTCTGTCCTTGTTTTCTCGCCTCTGTCCTTGTTTCCTGTCCTCTTCTGTCCTTGTTTCCTCTCCTCTGTCCATGCTTCCTCTCCTCTGTCCTTGTTTCCTGTCCTCTTCTATCCTTGTTTCCTCTCCTCTGTCCTTGTTACCTCTACTCTATCCTTGTTTCCTCTCTTCTGTCCTTGTTTTCTCGCCTCTGTCCTTGTTTCCTGTCCTCTTCTGTCCTTGTTTCCTCTCTTCTGTCCTTGTTTCTTCTCTTCTGTCCTCGCTGTTTCTCCTCTATCTTTGTTACCTCTCCTCTCTCCGTGTTTCCTCTCCTTTGTCCTTGTTTTCTCTCTTCTGTCCTTGTTTTCTCCCCTCTGTCCTTGTTTCCTCTCCCTTTGTCCTTGTTTCCTCTCCCTTTGTCCTTGTTTCCTCTCTACTGTCCTTGTTACCTCTACTCTATCCTTGCTTCCTCTCCTCTGTCTTTGTTTCCTCTCCTCTGTCCTTGTTTCCTGTCCTCTTCTATCCTTGTTTCCTCTCCTCTGTCCTTGTTACCTCTACTCTATCCTTGTTTCCTCTCTTCTGTCCTTGTTTTCTCACCTCTGTCCTTGTTTCCTCTCCTTTGTCCTTGTTTCCTCTCTTCTGTCCTTGTTTCCTCTCCTCTCCCCCTATTTCCTCCCTCTTCTATCCTTGTTTCCTCTCTTCTGTCCTTGTTTCTTCTCTTCTGTCCTCGCTGTTTCTCCTCTATCTTTGTTACCTCTCCTCTCTCCGTGTTTCCTCTCCTTTGTCCTTGTTTTCTCTCTTCTGTCCTTGTTTTCTCCCCTCTGTCCTTGTTTCCTCTCCTTTGTCCTTGTTTCCTCTCTTCTGTCCTTGTTTCCTCTCCTCTCCCCCTATTTCCTCCCTCTTCTATCCTTGTTTCCTTTCCTCTGTCTTTGTTTCCTCTCCTCTGCCCTTGTTTCCTCTCCTGTGCCCTTGTTTCCTCGCTCTTCTATCCTTGTTTCCTTTCCTCTGTCTTTGTTTCCTCTCCTCTGCCCTTGTTTCCTCGCTCTTCTATCCTTGTTTCCTTTCCTCTGTCTTTGTTTCCTCTCCTCTGCCCTTGTTTCCTGTTCTCTTCTATCCTTGTTTCCTCTCCTCTGCCCTTGTTTCCTCGCTCTTCTATCCTTGTTTCCTTTCCTCTGTCTTTGTTTCCTCTCCTCTGCCCTTGTTTCCTGTTCTCTTCTATCCTTGTTTCCTCTCCTCTGCCCTTGTTTCCTGTTCTCTTCTATCCTTGTTTCCTCTCCTCTGCCCTTGTTTCCTGTTCTCTTCTATCCTTGTTTCCTCTCCTCTGTCTTTGTTTCCTTTCCTCTCTGTAGAGAAGGAGTGGAGGAAGAAGGAGCAGAGAGATGAAGACGAGGAGGAGGATGGCGAGCTGGATGATGAGCTGTGGGGACTCAGAGCGCTTCAGAAACAGGAACTGAACAAGGTGAAGGAGGCGATAATAAGTCTGTGTCTCACTCTGCGTCTCACTCTACGTCTCACTCTGCATCTCACTCTGCGTCTCACTCTGCGTCTCACTCTACGTCTCACTCTGCATCTCACTCTACGTCTCACTCTACGTCTCACTCTGCATCTCACTCTGCGTCTCACTCTGCGTCTCACTCTACGTCTCACTCTACGTCTCACTCTGCATCTCACTCTGCGTCTCACTCTGCATCTCACTCTGCGTCTCACTCTGCGTCTCACTCAGTATCTCACTCTGCGTCTCACCCAGTATCTCACTCTAAGTCTCACTCAGTATCTCACTCTGCGTCTCACTCAGTATCTCACTCTGCGTCTCACTCAGTATCTCACTCTGCATCTCACTCTGCGTCTCACTCTGCATCTCACTCTGCGTCTCACTCTGCGTCTCACTCTGCATCTCACTCTGCGTCTCACTCAGTATCTCACTCTGCGTCTCACTCTGCGTCTCACTCAGTATCTCACTCTGCGTCTCACCCAGTATCTCACTCTAAGTCTCACTCAGTATCTCACTCTGCGTCTCACTCAGTATCTCACTCTGCGTCTCACTCTGCGTCTCACTCTGCGTCTCACTCAGTATCTCACTCTGCGTCTCACTCTGCATCTCACTCAGTTTCTCACTCTGCGTCTCACTCTGCGTCTCACTCTGCGTCTCACTCTGCGTCTCACTCAGTATCTCACTCTGCGTCTCACTCTGCATCTCACTCAGTTTCTCACTCTGCGTCTCACTCTGCGTCTCACTCTACGTCTCACTCTACGTCTCACTCTGCATCTCACTCTGCGTCTCACTCTGCGTCTCACTCAGTATCTCACTCTACGTCTCACTCTGCGTCTCACTCAGTATCTCACTCTGCGTCTCACTCAGTATCTCACTCTGCGTCTCACTCTGCGTCTCACTCTGCGTCTCACTCAGTATCTCACTCTGCGTCTCACTCTGCGTCTCACTCAGTATCTCACTCTGCGTCTCACTCTACGTCTCACTCTGCGTCTCACTCAGTATCTCACTCTGCGTCTCACTCTACGTCTCACTCTGCGTCTCACTCAGTATCTCACTCTGCGTCTCACTCAGTATCTCACTCTGCGTCTCACTCTACGTCTCACTCTGCGTCTCACTCTGCGTCTCACTCTGCGTCTCATTCAGTATCTCACTCTACGTCTCACTCAGTATCTCACTCTACGTCTCACTCTGCGTCTCACTCAGTATCTCACTCTGCGTCTCACTCTGCGTCTCACTCAGTATCTCACTCTGCGTCTCACTCTGCGTCTCACTCTACGTCTCACTCTGCATCTCACTCTGCATCTCACTCTACGTCTCACTCAGAATCTCACTCTGCATCTCACTCTACGTCTCACTCTGCATCTCACTCTGCATCTCACTCTGCGTCTCACTCTACGTCTCACTCTGCATCTCACTCTGCGTCTCACTCTACGTCTCACTCAGTATCTCACTCTACGTCTCACTCTACGTCTCACTATGTGTCTTCCTCTTCTTCTCACTTTTCTTCTCACTTTGTGTCTCACTCAGTATCTCACTCTACGTCATACTCTGCGTCTCACTCTGTGTCTTCCTCTTCTTCTCACTTTTCTTCTCACTTTGTGTCTCACTCTGCGTCTCACTCTGTATCTCCTTCTGTCTTCAGATTCAGTCTAATCTGGGGAAAATCATCCTGAAGGAGGAGCTGGAGAAATCTTCAGCTCCTCTGAGGAGGAAAACTCGCTCGCTACCGGACCGCAGCCATCACACAGGTAACCCTCACCTGCACAGATCCTGGTGGAGGAAGTACTGCTAGACTTTACTTCAGGAAAAGCAGTAATACTGCATTATTAAAATATTCCACTACAAGTCCCTCATACAAAATGTTACTTCAGTGAAAGTACAGAAGTACTATCTTGAAAATAAACCACGGTTCTAAGTAAATTTACTCAAGAAATGTACTCAAATGCAAATTTTAGGTACTTGCACTTTGTTATTAATACATAATTAAGTATTTGAATTGAGCTCCATTTTCACCAGCCAAAACAATTAAGTATTAATATTAACGCATTAATATTTCAATAATTACAATAAATTATTATAGTATATAGTAATCTTAAAATTAGGTAATTCTGCATTATGAGTACTTTAACTTTTGGTACTTTTAGTATATTGTTATGCTAATACTATTGTACTTTTACTTAAGGAAGATTTTGATTGCATGATGTTTTCTACACTATGGTATTACTACTTTTACTGCAGTAAAACATCTGAGTACTATTTCTCCTCTGATGAGTACACACAAACACACACAGCTCTGGTGACACCTAGTGGTCAGGATGATCACAGACAACATAAAGTGACTGAAGCATTACGCCTGGTAATAACTACAGTAACATTTTTCTTTAATAAATGCATCTTTATGTAGTGATTTATCTTTATGAGTAAATGCAGGTTCAAGTTATTTTGACATCTCTGAATACTTTCTTTAAGAGTTAAATTCCTGTATAATAATAATGTGAGTTCCTCGTCAGTAAGTGATCTATCAGTACGTTATCAGCAACATGGGCGTCCCGTTTCATTCATGTTCCTTATCACCGTCACATTCGCTTTATTTCTGCTCTCTGAGGGCGGGTTCACACCTAAAGGTCCGGTTCCTGAATTGAACAAATACGAGGATGATGCATATCTGATCCGGTTTGTGTTCACAAAGGCTAAAACTCAAACAGGCAAATAAAAGCCATGTGGTGGAAATGTCGTTTGAGTATTGGTCATAACAGCTCCAGATTTCTACTACGTTTTCCACTTGGGAAACATCATGTGACACCTGATACTTGCCTACGCTTGTACATGTCGTTTTTGGGAACAGTCATATGTGTCGTTGTACATATATGTTGTTGAGCAGGGTTACTTTCAGAAACGTATATTTGTTCTGAGAAGAGTTTCCCTCCCTTCTCTATTTTATTGACCTCCTCCTCTGCAGGGTCCAACACCTCCAAGTCTGTGTATTTCCCAGCATCCTCTAAGACCGGTCTGTCCAGGGTGAGTACTTCTGAACAGAAACGTCCAATCACAGCAGAGTTCCATGATGACGGCGATGAACGTGTTTCTGTGTGTTTTCAGCTGCAGTCGGCAGAGTTCAGCTCGTCTGACAAAACTCCTGCAGGTACGCAGTCAAGTCATATCAGATACATGTTGTCCTAAATCTGTATATTAACAGTTTTACCCTCTTTTATCTCCACATTATTTATCAATATCTGACATTTACATTTTTTAAAAATCTTTATCAGATGTTTAATCAGCTAAAATCTAAAAATTTGAAGCTTAAAATCAATCAGATTATAATACTCATGTGCAGTTTGGCTAATGAGCAGTGGTAGAGGAAGTACTCAGATCTTTTACTTAAGTAGAAGTATCAATACCACGGTGTATAAGTACTCTATCACAAGTAAAAGTACAGTATTATAATCAAAATGTACTATGTATCAAAAGTCAAAGTACTACGTATGTACATATGTGATATTTTGATCCTACTACTTTTAGCTTAAGTACTCAAGTAAAAATCTGAACGCAGGACATTTACTTGTAACATAGTATTTCTACACTGTTGTACAGATACTTTTACTTAAAGGGCACTCATGAGCTTCACACAAAGTGCTGGAAAGTCAGGGAAACTCCTACTGCTACGTTACAGTAATATTTTTATCAGCTTGATGTTGTTTAGCCGACGTGAAACATCGAGTTGTGAGTAATGTTCTCTGAACTCTCTCTCTCCTCTTTCTCCTCCTGCAGAGCTTCAGGTAAGGGTCTGATTCATTCATGCAAACATTTTCTAATCACTAATAAGTGGCTGTGTTACTGACGTGTTGATGTGATCATGTGTGTCAGAACGGAGACTCCAGGATGGACCGAGGAAACTCCCTCCCCAGCATGCTGGAGCATAAAGTAACAGCACCGTGTTTGTTTTTAATAACAACTGCTACTAATAATTATATTTAAAGGGTCGGTTCACCCAAACTTAAAAAAAAAACACTATTTCTCTCTGCTGTTGACTGGCATTCAGTTAGTTTTGGTTTCATTTGTCCGGGTTTAGAGATATCTTAATGTATTACTCTGGTAAATCCACACAAACACACTTCACTGTGTCAGAGAAGTTTGTAATTTAGGTGAACCGATGCTTTAATTCCACAAAGTAGTAATGTTAATTCAGCTATTTTTGCTTTATGTTATTAATATTAATAGATAGCCTAAGCCCCTCCCCTTCCAGTGGACCACCACGGGATGTTATTTTGGAAAAAATATGTTCGGCAGTCAACAGCGAGAAACGACTGTTTTATCCCGTTTGAATTGTGTCCTGAATTACACATATGGTGTTTATCAGTTTAAAAGATAATTTAAGTCAAGAAAGTCGCAGTTTGTCTGTATATGTAAGTATAAGACTGTGAAAATATGTAAATGCAAAAACCAAAAGTCTCATATGTGTCGTGTAACTGTTTCTCTCAATGACTGAAGCTAAATGTTACTTTAAAGTTTTATGACAATCTGTGACGGTCTTGACTTAAATTGTCTTTTAAACTGATAAACATCATGTGTGTAATTCAGAACACAATTCAAAGTGAATCTGAACATTAGTCGTTTCTGACTACCGTACTTATTTTTTACTGAAATAAGGTCCCATGGGGTGGAAGGGGAGGGACTTAAGCCTGATTTATACTTCTGCGTCGAGTCTACGCACGTAGCCACACATTTATGCTTGGGGTCTGTTTCATTCTGCAAATACACGGCCAAAACGCTAGTTGGCGGTAGCGTTGTAGCGTCCACTGTGTGGAGTTCTGCTGGCCGAGCCGGCTAACTTCCAGTTTAGCCCTCCGCTAACTTGAATGGGGGTAAAATGATAATCGTGCAGCTTTTCTAAACTTTTCAAATGTTATCTAACCAAGTAGATCAATTTCTGAAATAAGTCATTTTGTGGGTATCGTGACGCTAATAAAAACGTACCCACCATTTACAGCAGCTTGTTTGGCTGCTGGTAAAATTGGCTTAAAAGCAGGAGCACTTCCTGTGGGCTCGCAGGAAATGCAATTTTGCCAAGCCAACCAATCACAGTTTTTTCGGTCTGCGTCGCTGCAATGTGTAGTTAAATTTTTTTGGGGAGGTGCACGTCAGGCAACGGTGTAGTGTGCGCGGCTAAGCGTAGGCTTTGACGTGGATTCGAAACAAAAGTTTAAATCAGGCTTTAGGCTCTCTGTTGTAGCTCCTTGTCTGATTGATTTATTGATCTCTGTAGATCTACTCCTATGAGATGCTGGTGGTGACTCACAGAGGGCGGAGCAAGCTGCCCCCAGGCGTGGACAGAACCAGGCTGGAGGTAAAACTGTCGGCTTCACTCACAGTTAGACTAACAGATGTGCTCAGGTAGATGGTATTCACTGAACTCCCTCTCTCTCTCTCTGTGTCTCTGTATGTCTCTCGCCCCTGCAGAGACACCTCTCTCAGGAGGAGTTCTTCAGTGTTTTCGGGATGTCCATCGAGGAGTTCGACCACCTCTCCGTCTGGAAGAGAAACGAACTGAAGAAGAAAGTCTGTCTCTTCTGACGTCGCTGGGGCCGCAGCTCCCACAATCCGCTACTCTTCCTGGATCACTGCAGGATCCCGAAACCGCACGGAAAAAAGATCATTATCAGCACCGCCGCCGCCGCCATCATCACAACAGCTCACTGTTAGTCAGATGCTCAGTGAGACGCCTCAGGCTTCGGGTTTGATGTGATTCACATTGAAGGTTTGAACGCAGTGACTTTTAGATTTCTGCAGGACTACTGTTTGATAAGCTTCAGTTTTTAGATGTCTGTAGAAATGTTTAAATAACAAAACTGCTCAGCGAGCGCAAAGAATCAACCTGCATGTCAAGATGTGGAAGCACAGAGGCAGGTGTGGATAGATCACAAGAAGAAGAATCTTCTTTAATGGTGTCTTTTATCCCAGTTTTGGAAGTTTTTGCCGCTAGTATGAAAACTGAGAGCAGAGCAACTACAGTGGGTTTAAACTGGAAGTGAAGAGGCCCGGTCACACCAGCATTTTTAACAGTTCACACTAAATTAATTTAAGAGAATTCACAGTAAATCCACGTGGATCTTTTTGCTTAGAGTTCAGGTTTTGGTGACCTTTTACAAGCTGAAGTCTCAACAGTCTGGAGCTCAACACACTGCAATGTAAGAACAAATTTAGCATTTAGAAAAAAAGGCAAAAAAAGAATACATTTACAGCAAATGCTGAAGTTGGTTTCTTCATTTGCTTGTGTTTCCTTAAGTTGCAGTTGTGTTTTGAGTTTTTTCAGCCACCGCAGAACCGGAGGTCCAAAAACATGTGCAGTAATCCACGACGAGAGACAACTAATGTTTTGACCCTGTTTGAATTGTTCCCTGAGCTACACACACATGATGTTTGTCAGTTTAAAAATAATTTAAGTCAAGAAGCTCACAGTTTGTTGTAAAACTCTAAAGTAACGTTTAGTTTTGTGTGAAACCATTTAAAAAACGACATCTCTCGTCACACATAATATACGTCACCAACATGTTAGCGCTGTAATGCTAAGCTAACGTTGATTGCTTGGTTGCTAATAGCTAGGTAAGTTAGCTATGTTCCATGCACAGACGTATCTCACCTGATGTGTTTAATCCAACAACTCTTGGTATTTTATCACATCATCTACACATGGAAGCTTTTTGACGTTAGCTTCAGTAATGTTAGCTTCAGTCACGGTAGCTTCAGTAATGTTAGCTTCAGTAACATTAGCTTCAGTACCGTCAGCGTTGGTGACTTTAGCTTCAGTAACGTTATATTAAATTATCTGTTAAACTGACAAACATCGTGTGTGTAATTCAAACAGGATCTAAACATTAGTTGTCTCTCTCCATTGACTAACGTACATATTGTTTCCAAAATAAGGTCCCATGGTGGTCCACGGGAAGCTGAGGCTCTCCATAATTCTCCTCTGCTGGAGTATAAAGATGCATTATGATTTGTATTCCGATGTCACATCATTTTCTCTAGTTAGCTTCTGAGCTGGCTAGCTGACTTGCTACTAGCTAGCAAACTGATAGCTAGCCAACTAGCTTTGCGAGCTGTTTTGGCTGGCATAATGTTAGCCAGGAGTGGATGATTCATCCTTCATCGTGTAATTTTAAAATCACAATATCAATATAACTATATAGGCCTTTATCATGATATTGTAGGTTTTCAGACAAATCAAGGAATTATCACTGGATAAAATAATCTGACAGAAATGTCTTTTGTGTTTTTGGCAACGGCTTATAAAGTTATGTTAAAATCAAGTATTGCCACAAATCAGGTTTTTATTAGTTTACAACCTAAGGTGGCCTAACATACCCAGAGATATTAAAGGGTAGAGATACCTTGTTTTTGACGCTATATGGCAATTATATCCTCAAATCGCCTAATCTTCTGGTGTGACTCGGCACAATGTCGGGACACTTCCTGGTCGGCTCTGTCAGCTTTGTCGTTTGTCTAAGAACTTTTTAAACTGTGAAATAAGAGCAGCCAGAGAAAGACGTGTCCTGTTGACGGCTGCAGGTAAAGAGTCCTCTGGGTTTGTTACTCTCGCAGCAGTAAAATGAAAGTTAATCTTCATAATGTTAAAGCTCAGTTGTTTGGTTGCAGTGGTGGAATTCTCTTCTACTGTTGACCTCACTGAAGGTTTTATGTTAATCCCAGTCACATAGCATTAAATGTTTTCTATATATACGAGATTATACATTAAAGGTCACACCTTCTGTAGGTTAGACTGATGAAGCCTTCCGAAGCTACAGACAGATTTATTTCCATCAGACGTCAGATTAAATCAAGATTAAATATTTTTATTATGGATCTTCCAGCTGCAGTCGGGCTTTAAAACAACATTCCTGCTGACAATGAGTCAAGCTTCAGTACAGATGCTGACTGCAGGAATATACCTGTTAGCGATCTTTCAAAAGGATTGTTCCTGTTGGCTTAGCCAGCTACGATGTCAAAATGACAGCATTTCTTTCCCAGCACCTGAAAGTAAAACAAGGAGACAGTTTGATCACAGTGTGATGTTTAACATCCCGCAGCAAGAAGCTAATACACCGGCTTCGTCACTGAAGATTATCATTTAATATTTTATAAAAGTGTTATAAACAAGCTGCTACTCAGTTCATTTATTTCTTGTATTATTGTCGTCCTCAAAGTCCCAACCTGTAACGGAAACCTAGTTATGTTTTTCTACTGCTTTATTTAACTTTGCAACTTCAGGATGTAAATTCAAATAGCTTTTTAAATTCTGTTTCTTTGAAATGAAAACCTTTTTTTTTTCTTTGCCTGCGTGTGACATCTAAACATTTAATTTACTATTCATTAAGAAATATCTGAGCCCAGTTTGAATCAACTGATTGTGATAAAATGTCAGCATTGATTCTTTTTAGTGATGCAACCTAAGCTAATTTATGCAACTAACCCACTTATTCTAACCCAAACCTGATCTTTTCCTAAACTTAACCAAATTTTTTAAAAGTCTAACCGGATGTTGCATATTTATTACTGTTAACTTGAATGTTGAGACCTATAGCAGCCCATTCCCATGGTGTCAAATATCAATGCCTTGTCACGTCTTTCAGCATCTGGTACCAATGAACATGGCAGCGTCATTGATGCTAAAAGTAGGCCTAGTATAAGTAACATAAAAGTCAGAGTAAAGAGATGGTTGAGGAGGATTGGTGGATCAGAAACCAGACGTTAATCCCGGAGACCAGTGTTTGTTTTCTGTGTGAGACAAAAAGTCAAGTAGTATTGTTGCTTGAACCTAACCAAATTGTTTCACAACTTCACTGGAGCCATACGCGTACAAAAACGACTCTAAAGGGTACCCAGGGCGTACGAAAGCAATACAATCACCTTCAGTTGCTTCGACATCAGACGTCAAAGTCAAAAACTCAACCCCCGCTGGCTGTGATGAAACTGTCTCCTCCTTGGTTTTTCTTTGTAACACAGCAAAAGCCACTGCCCTATTTTATCTAAGTACACCGTGCACACAGATACACAAAAACTATTTTGCAGTGAACAAGAACAATGAAAACCTTAAAACCAGAGCTCAAGAGCAGCAACTCGACTGAACTCTGTGCAGCTCTGGTTTGTCCAATAAGCAGGTTGTAGACATTTTAGCGTCGGCTAGAGTTGCTTCGTGACCAAATGATGTGCAGCTATTTTTTAAACCTACATAGAAGAAGTGGCATGTTTGTTATTTCAAACGAAAATGTAAACTCATTTAAAACAAAAAGGTGAATTATATCAATACATGAATGTTGAGAAAAGAGAATGACACATTTTCACCATCAAAGACGACGACGACGGAGGATGAAAAAGAGACTTTTTGTGGGGGAGGATGGAAAATAGCTGGAGATCTTTACACTGACATTTTTCACCTCCACACCTCGAAGTGAACTGAACTGATGAACATCATCATTAACACACAGACGGTACATCTGTAACACCGTGAGCACACATAGTTATGTATCTAGAAACTATTAATATCCATCAGCATCATATCTGATCTCCACAAACATATGGATAACTTTAATCTATGAAGTTTCACCTTCTTTAACACCTTTAACTAATAAAAAGGAAACACAGAAGTTGATTTAAAACTGAACCTTGATCTGAATGGACAGTTTAAAGGTGCAATATGTACGATTCTATATTATAATAAATCTAATCAATACAGCTAGCTTGGTATAATGACCGTAAACAATTGAGACGATTGTCGACCTCTATCACATTCACAGACTACATTTCCTTTCAGATTCTTTGCACTTGTCAATCAGCTTGTAGCCCCGCCCTAAAGCCTCCCCTGCTTCCTGGTCTCTGTTCCTCTAAATGGGACCATAATTTACTAAATGAACATCATGCTGTGTTGAAGAAGACTTGAAACTAGCGACTGAGACCAGAAACTCATCAGGAAAGTGTTTACTGAGGGAATAAATCAGCTGACAAGTAGAAACATTTTGTCATAGACGTCTATACAATCCAGAGGAGTCGCCCCCTGCTGGCCATTAGAGAGGATGCAGGTTTAAATTACTTCCGGATTGGCTTGACTCGTGAGAGCTGGAGGTTGCTTGGTTTTCTGCCTTTGCTGTTACAACAGTTAAAGCTTGCAAAACTGGCCAACCATTTAAATAATAATGGTAAATGGTAAAATCCAGTGCGCCCCCAATGCGTAAAGTTATTTTCCAGCATAAACCGAGAGCTATTTCAGTTCACTGTCTTGGTCCTGAACACCAAACTGTCAAACACATCCAGAACTTCAGAGGTTTGTTTACAGTCATTATGCCACTGTTGTTGTTGTTGTTGTTGTTGTTGTTGTTGTAGTAATATGTTTTATGGAAGGTAAAATGAGACTCGCAGCACCTTTAAATCAGATTTCAGCAGGTTTACACACAACTTTGTGGAGTCTGTCAGAATGAATTCACTCTCACTGCAAACGCCAAAAACACCGCCGCTACATCCCGCATCACACACACCACCATGTCGGCCTCGCCACCGCACGCTTCCTGTATCTGTGATAAAATTTTTTAAAAAACTGGATGAAGATGTGCGATTTGTCAGTTGGAGTGAGCGAGCATCGGTCACTTTACGTTGAGATGATTTCGTTTTTTTCCTTTCTTTAATTTGATATTTTTTCAAGGAATGACTGACGCTGTTTGATGAGAGGATTTTTGCTTTGTTCTGATTGGTTGTGTGTAGTAAGAAACAGGAAGTTGGTTGCTGTGACTAACACCATGATGACACAAAGATTGTTCCATATTTTGTTCTTTTGTTTTTGTACATTTTAAAAGTGTGTTTTCTTTTTTTAAAATCTAATTATTTTAACACACAGGGCGACGTCGTGAGGGCGTATCACTGTCAGCGTCTGATATTTTAACTGCTGAATGCATGATGTCATGATGATGATGTCGTATTTTTATTAACCTTATATACAGTATATTGAAATGTGCAGTTACAGGTTCCTGAGACAACACAACACGACTGAGGTCAAAGGTCAGACTCGTTGACGGTGACTCACCTGTCCGGCACCGCCCTGCTGCTGTACATACTGAACTACTGAATGACAGTATAATTATTGTTGTTGTTGTTGTTGTTTTCACATCTGGATGCAGGTGATGTAACAGATGAATGGTGACGTGAATGATTAACCATGAGTTACAATAAAGAGCATTTCTATTTGCTTTGAGGAGACTGTGTTAATCTTTGTATTCATCTGAGAAACTACAAAAAGTCTTCATTGTAAACATTGGATTCGCAGAATTTATCTTAAATTCACAAACAAGAGTCTGCAGCTATGCTAACAGCTCTGTGAGGCTGAACTGCAGAGTTAATGCTAATGTTGGCATGCTAACATGATAAGTGAGATACAATCCAATAAAGTGAGATACAACATAATAAAGTAAAATACAATAAAGTGAGATACAATAAAGCGAGATACAATCCAACAAAGTCTATTGTAATGTAGTCTCTATTGTATTTTACTGTTAAATCCAATAAAGTGAGATACAATCCAATAATGTTCAATACAATCAAATAAAGTGAGATACGATCCAATAATGTTCAATACAATCCAATAAAGTCGCTTTATTGTATCGCTTTTAATTAAGTTAGATACAATAAAGTGAGATACAATCCAATAAAGTTAGATACAATACAATTAAGTAAGAGCCAACACAATAAAGTTAGAAACAATAAAGGAAGATACAATCCAATAAAGTTAGATACAATCCAATTAAGTAAGAGCCAACACAATAAAGTTAGAAACAATAAAGGAAGATACAATCCAATAAAGTTAGATACAATCCAATTAAGTAAGAGCCAACACAATAAAGTTAGATAGAATAAAGTGAGATACAATACAATAAAGTTAGATACAATCCAGCAAAGTTAGATACAATCCAGCAAAGTTAGATACAATAAAGTGAGATACAATCCAATAAAGTTAGATACAATCCAGTAAAGTTAGATACAATAAAGTGAGATACAATCCAATAAAGTTAGATACAATCCAGTAAAGTTAGATACAATAAAGTGAGATACAATCCAATAAAGTTAGATACAATCCAGTAAAGTTAGATACAATAAAGTGAGATACAATCCAATAAAGTTAGATACAATCCAGTAAAGTTAGACACAATAAAGTGAGATACAATCCAATAAAGTTAGATACAGTACAATTAAGTAAGAGCCAACACAATAAAGTTAGAAACAATAAAGGAAGATACAATCCAATAAAGTTAGATACAATCCAATTAAGTAAGAGCCAACACAATAAAGTTAGATAGAATAAAGTGAGATACAATACAATAAAGTTAGACACAATCCAGCAAAGTTAGATACAATAAAGTGAGATACAATCCAATAAAGTTAGATACAATCCAGTAAAGTTAGATACAATAAAGTGAGATACAATCCAATAAAGTTAGATACAATAAAGTGAGATACAATCCAATAATGTTCAATACAATCACATAAAGTGAGATACAATCCAATAATGTTCAATACAATAAAGTGAGATACAATCCAATAAATTGAGATACAATAAAGCGTAAAGTGAGATACAATAAAGCAAGATACAATCCAATAAAGTGAGATACAAATAAGTGAGATACAATCGAATAATGTTAAATCCAATAAAGTGAGATACAATCCAATAATATTCAAAACAATCAAATAAAGTGTGATACGATCCAATAAAGTTAGAAACAATACAGTTAGATACAATACAATTAAGTAAGATCCAACACAATAAAGTTAGATACAATAAAGTGAGATACAATACAATAAAGCGAGATACAATCCAACAAAGTTTATTGTAATGTAGTCTCTATTGTATTTTACTGTTAAATCCAATAAAGTGAGATACAATCCAATAATGTTCAATACAATCAAATAAAGTGAGATACGATCCAATAATGTTCAATCCAATCCAATAAAGTTGCTTTATTGTATCGCTTTTAATTAAGTTAGATACAATAAAGTGAGATACAATCGAAAAAGTTAGATACAATAGATACAATACAATTAAGTAAGAGCCAACACAATAAAGTTAGATACAATAAAGGAAGATACAATCCAATAAAGTTAGATACAATACAGTTAAGTAAGAGCCAACACAATAATGTTAGATACAATAAAGTGAGATACAATACAATAAAGTTAGATACAATCCAATAATGTTCAATACAATAAAGTGAGATACAATACAATAAAGTTAGATACAATCCAATAATGTTCAATACAATAAAGTGAGATACAATACAATAAAGTGAGATACAATAAAGCGTAAAGTGAGATACAATAAAGCAAGATACAATTCAATAAAGTGAGATACAAATAAGTGAGATACAATCGAATAATGTTAAATCCAATAAAGTGAGATACAATCCAATAATATTCAATACAATCAAATAAAGTGTGATACGATCCAATAAAGTTAGAAACAATAAAGTGAGATACGATCCAATAACGTTAGATACAATAAAGTCAGATACAATCCAATAAAGTTAGATACAATACAATGAAGTAAGATCCAACACAATAAAGTTAGATACATTAAAGTGAGATACAATCCAATAAAGTTAGATACAATAAAGTGAGATACAATCCAATAAAGTTAGATACAATACAATGAAGTAAGATCCAACACAATAAAGTTAGATACAATAAAGTGAGATACAATAAAGTGAGATACAATCCAATAAAGTGAGATACAATAAAGCGTAAAGTGAGATACAATAAAGCAAAATACAATCCAATAAAGTGAGATACAAATAAGTGAGATACAATCGAATAATGTTAAATCCAATAAAGTGAGATACAATCCAATAATGTTCAATACAATCAAATAAAGTGTGATACGATCCAATAAAGTTAGAAACAATAAAGTGAGATACGATCCAATAACGTTAGATACAATAAAGTGAGATACAATCCAATAAAGTTAGATACAATACAATGAAGTAAGATCCAACACAATAAAGTTAGATACAATAAAGTGAGATACAATAAAGTGAGATACAATCCAATAAAGTGAGATACAATAAAGCGTAAAGTGAGATACAATAAAGCAAAATACAATCCAATAAAGTGAGATACAAATAAGTGAGATACAATCGAATAATGTTAAATCCAATAAAGTGAGATACAATCCAATAATGTTCAATACAATCAAATAAAGTGTGATACGATCCAATAAAGTTAGAAACAATAAAGTGAGATACGATCCAATAACGTTAGATACAATAAAGTGAGATACAATCCAATAAAGTTAGATACAATACAATGAAGTAAAATCCAACACAATAAAGTGAGATACAATCCAATAAAGTTAGATACAATACAATGAAGTAAGATCCAACACAATAAAGTGAGATACAATCCAATAAAGTTAGATACAATACAATTAAGTAAGATCCAACACAATTAAGTAAGATACAATCCAATAAAATAAGATCCAACACAATAAAGTTAGATACAATAAAGTGAGATACAATCCAATAAAGTGAGATACAATAAAGTGAGATACAATCCAATAAAGTTAGATACAATCCAATAAAGTTAGATACAATAAAGTGAGATACAATACAATAAAGTTAGATACAATACAATAAAGTAAGATCCAACACAATAAAGTGAGATACAATACAATAAAGTTAGATACAATACAATAAAGTAAGATCCAACACAATAAAGTGAGATACAATAAAGCGAGATACAATCCAGTAAAGTGAGATACAATCCAATAAAGTAAGATACAGTACAATAAAATTAGATACTATAAAGTTAAAGAAAATCCAATAAAGCCAGATACAATACAAAAAAATAGAAAAAAGAAAAATACATAAATCACAGTCAACCCTTGTCTAGAAAAAAACTTGTTTGACCAACAGAGTGTTCAATTGCTTTTTAAAAGAATAAACAGAATTTGAACAATGTAGAAAGGGAGGCAATAGTATTTGGTCATAAAGCCAAGTGTTGAACATGTTGACCTGATGATGGCGCTAGATAAAAAAGTCAGAGGATCACCAAAGTTAATACAGTTCATCCTGAAGGGGGGCACGAAGGTCTGAACCACATTCATCACAATGTTTCCAACAGCTGCTGAGATGTTTCAGTCTGGACCGAAGAAGAGGACTCACATCATCCATCCATCAACTGTTATTATAAACTGACTGAATGTATCTGTACATTCTCTGTTGGTTTGAGTCTGCACATGAAGAAAAATATAGAATATCACCAGATTTCACATGAGGTTAGTGCCAGTCAGGACATTGTTTTTCTCTCCCTCTTCAGACTTAATGAGTGTGCTGGTCCAGCCTCTGTCTCCTCCCTCGTGTGTTGATGTCACAAAGGGCAGGACTCGAACGTCAGAGCTGAAACTTCTTCACACAGAGCAGATGGAGAAAGTTCACTGAGCAGGAAAAACTTCTCTGTTTGATGTTTTGGACTCTTCAGCAGAGATATGAGACTGAAGGTCAGCAGCTACTGAGACATGGACAAACAGAAAGGTACTGTGTTCACTTTATCATACTACAGAAACTCTATCCTGACTTATAGAATATAAAACATATAATACAGATACAACACCAAATTCTCAGATATTCCTTGTTTGGAACATTTCACCTGACAAAGTCACATAATAAAAACCTCCTTCAGGGACAATTTATCCTCTTTATCATATGACACTAATGTGAAACATTTATTTAAAATTTCACATGTGAAACACCTCTGTGCAGTGGTGGACAGAAACTAAGTACATTTACTCAAGTACTGTACTTAAGTACAAATTAGAGGTACTTGAGTATTTTCTTTTCATGCCACGAAAAACAAAACATAGAAAAGTTTGAAAAATTTGATGTTTTGTTAAATTAAACTCCAACAGTTTATACAAGTACAAGTAGTACACTGATTGAACTGATTGAAATTGAACTGGCAAGTATTTTGGTAACGCTAAAGTCATTTTTTTAAATGTGAAAACATTTCACATTAGCCTGACAAAACAACCACTGTGAATGTGTCACTTTGGGCTCTGGGTAACTGCGACAACATTTCTCACTATTTTCAGAATCATCAATCGATTAATGGAGAAAGTTATCAGCGGATTAATTCATAATGAAAAAAGTCATTAATTGTTGTCAGATACAAAACAGTTTAAGCTCAGCCAACTACAGTAAAATCCCACTTTTACATTAACGCATGAGTAATAATAATAATCTAATGATATTTACTAGTGTTAACAGTCAAAGGGGATCATTTTTATTAGTAGCAGTTTTATTTTTAACACTTTGAGCACATTTTCCTGATTATAATTACATCATTTTACTTAAGTAACATTTTCAATGCATTGGTTTTACTTGCAACAGAGTATTTTTACAGTGAGGCATTAGTACTACGATAGTAGTACGATCTGAATACTTCACACACCACAGCCTCTGTAAGTACATATATTTCACATGGGAGAACACAAAATGGTCCGCGACCCTGTACGCAGGATAAGCGGTTGACGATGGATGGATGGATGGATGGATGGATGGATGGATGGAGAACACAAATTGTGTGTAAACTTTTTCCTGTTTTGTTTATTACTACAAAATAAGGGTAACAGTTTACCTTAAGTCTCCCTGTTTGGCATTTAAAAGCAGTAAATATTCAATAAATGGTTAATAACTACAATGTAGTTGTGAGCAGGACATGTTTAAATGTTTATTATTGTTTGTCCTGTTTTTATGTTGTTTTAATTATTACTACAAAAAACAAGGGTATCAATTTACATTAATGCCTCCTGTTGATAAGTAGAATATATTGAATAAATATAAATAAATATAAATAAATATAAATAAATATAAATAAATATATATAAAAATATAAATATAAAAATAAAAATATAAAAATATAAAAATAATATAGAAATATAAAAATAAATGGTTTGTAACTTGCTATAATCTAGTTGTGAGCAGATATAAGGACATTTTAAGTGTTTATTAATGTACAGCATTTCTTTGCACTTATAATTTATCATATGAACACACATTTTATATTATTAGGCTACATCTCTGTTTGTCTGTATTGTTACTGTCCATTCATGAAGTGTCAGAATAATCTGAAAAATGATTTCTGGGAAAATTCACGTGTACGACCCCTGAAGTCGGAACAACAACTTGGAAAGTCTGAGAAAATATTGGTACTAGAGTTGCCGTGTTGTTGGCGTCATACACGTAGAAACATGGCGGACAATATGGTCGATGGTTAGAAACGTTTGATTAATGGTGTAAATAAATAACTACTTGACACACTCACAGCTTCCTAATAATATAATAACTAGAGAAGTTGTGTTTAGCGGGAAAAGCCATTAGGTTAATCCTCTGGGGAGCAGGAGTGAGGATTTTAAAAGAAGTGTGTGATGGTTAAATAATATCACATGTAACTGTGCAACCGTCATCATTAGTGATCCCATGTGTCTGCTATGTGTGGAGTCTTTATCACGCTGATGGTATGTTAACTACAGCAGCACAACAATCGGAAACACCCGTCTGTAGGTCTCCATCCTCCTTCCTCCCCTGCTGCCCTCAGGAGACCGAGACTGTTTAGATTCTGACTGATTGTGTTTAAAGTCTCCAAACACACAATTTTAGCATTTTTCTCCCATTACAAACACTCAAATTAACTACTGTAGTTCAGTTTTAGTTTTATTACTTCATGAGTTAGCTGCTTACTGCAAAGATAAGTCCATTTTACTCCAAGTTGGGTCAGATTTTGGTAGTAACATTAAGTCTGTTTCCATCAGGCTAAAGCTAACAGGTGACTGGTCATGATATGATGCTAACAGACTGAAGCTAATTCTAACTGGTCAAGTCAGGTAATGATACTGAGGCTAAAGCTAATGGGTCCCAGGTTATGACATGATGCTAACAGACTGAAGCTAAAGCTAACAAGAGGTCTCAGGTCATGATATGATGCTAACAGACTGAGGCTAAAGCTAACAAGAGGTCTCAGGTCATGATATGATGCTAACAGACTGAGGCTAAAGCTAACAAGAGGTCCCAGGTCATGATACTATGCTAACAGACTGAGGCTAAAGCTAAAATATCCCAGGTCATGATATGATGCTAACAGACTCAAGCTAAAGCTAACAAGAGGTCCCAGGTCATGATATGATGCTAACAGACTGAGGCTAAAGCTAACAAGAGGTCCCAGGTCATGATATGATGCTAACAGACTGAGGCTAAAGCTAAAATATCCCAGGTCATGATATGATGCTAACAGACTCAAGCTAAAGCTAACAAGAGGTCCCAGGTCATGATACCATGCTAACAGACTGAGGCTAAAGCTAAAATATCCCAGGTCATGATATGATGCTAACAGACTCAAGCTAAAGCTAACAAGAGGTCCCAGGTCATGATACGATGCTAACAGACTGAGGCTAAAGCTAAAATATCCCAGGTCATGATATGATGCTAACAGACTGAGGCTAAAGCTAAAATATCCCAGGTCATGATATGATGCTAACAGACTCAAGCTAAAGCTAACAAGAGGTCTCAGGTCATGATATGATGCTAACAGACTGAGGCTAAAGCTAACAAGAGGTCCCAGGTCATGATACTATGCGAACAGACTGAGGCTAAAGCTAAAATATCCCAGGTCATGATATGATGCTAACAGACTGATGCTAAAGCTAAAATATCCCAGGTCATGATATGATGCTAACAGACTGAGGCTAAAGCTAACAAGAGGTCCCAGGTCATGATACCATGTTAACAGACTGAGGCTAAAGCTAAAATATCCCAGGTCATGATATGATGCTAACAGACTCAAGCTAAAGCTAACAAGAGGTCCCAGGTCATGATATGATGCTAACAGACTGAGGCTAAAGCTAAAATATCCCAGGTTATGACATGATGCTAACAGACTGAGGCTAAAGCTAAAATATCCCAGGTCATGATATGATGCTAACAGACTGAGGCTAAAGCTAAAATATCCCAGGTCATGATATGATGCTAACAGACTGAGGCTAAAGCTAAAATATCCCAGGTCATGATATGATGCTAACAGACTGAAGCTAATTCTAACTGGTCAAGTCAGGTAATGATACTGAGGCTAAAGCTAATGGGTCCCAGGTTATGACATGATGCTAACAGACTGAGGCTAAAGCTAAAATATCCCAGGTCATGATATGATGCTAACAGACTGAAGCTAAAGCTAACAAGAGGTCCCAGGTCATGATATGATGCTAACAGACTGAGGCTAAAGCTAAAATATCCCAGGTCATGATATGATGCTAACAGACTGAAGCTAAAGCTAACAAGAGGTCCCAGGTCATGATATGATGCTAACAGACTGAGGCTAAAGCTAAAATATCCCAGGTCATGATATGATGCTAACAGACTGAGGCTAAAGCTAAAATATCCCAGGTCATGATATGATGCTAACAGACTCAAGCTAAAGCTAACAAGAGGTCCCAGGTCATGATACTATGCTAACAGACTGAGGCTAAAGCTAAAATATCCCAGGTCATGATATGATGCTAACAGACTCAAGCTAAAGCTAACAAGAGGTCCCAGGTCATGATACTATGCTAACAGACTGAGGCTAAAGCTAAAATATCCCAGGTCATGATACTATGCTAACAGACTGAGGCTAAAGCTAAAATATCCCAGGTCATGATATGATGCTAACAGACTCAAGCTAAAGCTAACAAGAGGTCCCAGGTCATGATACTATGCTAACAGACTGAGGCTAAAGCTAAAATATCCCAGGTCATGATATGATGCTAACAGACTGAGGCTAAAGCTAAAATATCCCAGGTCATTATATGATGCTAACAGACTGAGGCTAAAGCTAAAATATCCCAGGTCATGATACCATGCTAACAGACTGAGGCTAAAGCTAAAATATCCCAGGTCATGATATGATGCTAACAGACTGAAGCTAATTCTAACTGGTCAAGTCAGGTAATGATACTGACGCTAAAGCTAATGGGTCCCAATGGTCCCAGGTCATAATACCATGCTAACAGACTGAGGCTAAAGCTAAAATATGGTCCCAGGTCATGATATGATGCTAACAGACTCAAGCTAAAGCTAACAAGTGGTCCCAGGTCATGATATGATGCTAACAGACTGAGCTCCCTCACAGTGGGAGTTTATCCTAACCACACCATAAAATCAGTGAGTAAGTTAGTTAGCCGGACATGCTAACGTTAGCAGCTTACAGTAATGTAGACAAATAAAGTTTGGCTCTTGTGTTTTTGGTTTTAGAAACTCTCTGTACACAGCGTCTCTCTCACTATACAGCTGTATGTGGTGAGCTTCCAGCTGATTGGACAACTGGAGTCACTTTGAGGAAGCAGCGGCTCAGTAATGTAAATGTTTCTGCTGCCCTGTGTTTACCAGGATGAAAGAGAAAGCTGCTCCACACCCTGCAGCACGCACACATTTTAAACTTTCCCTAAAAGTTTTAACCTCAGTCGGTCACAGGATCAGCTTCTTTGGCCAGAAAGGCACAAGTTTGAAACTACAGCTGTATTTGGAACCGCCTACAAAATATAGGACCATCGGAGTTTCATCCAGTCCAACCGCTGTGCTCCCTACAGAAATAGTCCCTGTGAGAGATGATGACAGTGTTTATCATTTTATCAACACTGGGAGCAGCTTTGTTTGTTATTTTGTTAGATTTTGGTTAGTTTATTAGTTTGTCAGTATGTTTATCAGTTTGTTTGTGAGTGTTTATGTTAGTTTATAAGTTGGTCAACTTGTTTGTCAATTTGTCAGTATGTTTGTCAGGTTGTTGGTTTACCAATTTGTTAGTATGTTTCTCTGTTTCTTTGTCGGTGTGTTTATCAGTTTTTTCGTTTATTTGTTTATTTGTCAGTTTGATATTTTATTACTTTGTTTATTTGTTCAACTGTTTGTTTGTCAGTTTGTTCATTTTGTTTGCTTTTCAATATGTTTATTAGTTTGTCATCTTGATTGTTTGTCAGTTTGTTAGTTTATGAGTTTCTTTGTTTTTCAGTTAGTTAATTCGTTGGAAAATTATCCTTCACTTCACCACCCAGCACGAATTGCAAAGAAAACAAGACAACAGAGATCACAAACAGAACAGCAACAATCAACACAAAGTTTACAGCCATAAATACAGAGAGTTTAGTCTAAACATATTTACTGGCATAGATATTAGGAGGCCTTTGTTCGTTTTGTTGTCGTTTGTGGTAGCTGGTGATGTTGTGATTATTGATTTCTTGTCTGTTTTTGCTGCTTTTAGCCAGAATGAGATTATCTGCCTTTCATTCGAATGGGCAGTGGGCGTCTTTCACTGTGTGTGTTATGCAGCATCAAAGCTAGAGACAGGAAGTTCTGGTGATGGTCAGATAAGAAGCATTCAGTTACACAAACTCTTTATTTAACAGTTTTTCTGTTGCGAAACCGTCTCCGAGGTGTCTCCTCTGCAGACAGTCTTTCTGTTGATGTTGTTGTTGTTGTTGTTGTTGTTGTTGTTGTAGATATGCTGTGGGTGTGTTGGGTATGTGCACCTCAGTGTTTAAAACAGCAGCAGGCTGATAAGCAGAGCTGTAGGAGTAGCAGAGTCTTAAAATCAGCACAGAGGAGTTAATCAGAAACGTTTAACCTCCGTCTCCCACTCAGCTCACAGTGTGAATGGACTCACTCTGTCCGTCTGAATGGAGCTCAAAGACAATCACCATCTGTGTGACACTGTTTTTCTCTGCATTTCTCACATTTCCCCTCCTTCTAACGATAATTCTGTTTTGAGATCAGTTCAGTCAAACTCCTCAGGCTCATTCACTCCAGTTTGGTTTTAAACAGCAACAGAAAACTCTCTCTGGTCCGGTCTGAAGCCTGGCAGTCATATGAAATGAAATAATAATACATTTGGGATACATGTAAAAATGAATAGTCTTATAGGATGTTCTAGTGGTCAGTGGCGAGGTCATTTAGGTAAATGTAGTCACGCTTAGTGGAAGGTTCTAGAGGTCTTTCAGGAGGGCATAGAAGTGCTGTAACTTCTGGTGGACTCGTAGGTACTTCAAGTCGTCAAACCCAAGAGGTTGTAGGGGTTCTTTAAGTGGTTTTAGAAGTTCTTAATGAGGTTACAGTGGTCATTTCAGAGCTTCTAGGCTTCTTTAGGGGCCCTTTAGTCTTGCTGAAGAACATTGTAGTGGTCATTTAAAAGGTTAAGTGTTCTTTTAGGTTCTTCTAGTTGTTTTCTGGGAGGTTGTAGGGGTTCTTTAAGTGGTTTTAGAAGTTCTTAATGAGGTTACAGTGGTCATTTCAGAGCTTCTAGGCTTCTTTAGGGGCCCTTTAGTCTTGCTGAAGAACATTGTAGTGGTCATTTAAGAGGTTAAGTGTTCTTTTAGGTTCTTCTAGTTGTTTTCTGGGAGGTTGTAGGGGTTCTTTAAGTGGTTTTAGAAGTTCTTAATGAGGTTACAGTGGTCATTTTAGAGCTTCTAGTGGCCTTTAGGGGGCTCTAGTCTTGCTGAAGCGAGGTTCTAGGGGGTTCTTGTGATCCTTTAGGATGGTCTAATGGGTATTGAGGAGGTTCCAGAGAGGTCAAATAGGAGGTTATAGTAGTCATTATGTAGGTTCAAGGTTTTTTAGGTGTTTGAAGTGATTCTCTAGGAGGTTCTAGTGGTCATTAGGGAGGTGCAATGTTCTTTTAGGTGCTTCTAGTCATTCTCTAGTAGGTTGTAGCAGCCATTTAGGCAGTCCTAGATGTTCTTAAGGAGGTTACAGTGGTGATTTCGGTACTTCTAGGGGTCTTTAGGGGGTGCTAGTCTTGCTGAAAAAGGTTCTATTGGTCATTAAGGAGGATCAATGTTCTAGGAGGTTTTAGGGGTCCTTCAGGTGGTTCTAGAAGTTATTAAGGAGGTTATAGTGGTCATTCCGGAGCTTCTAGTGGTTCTGAGGGTGGTTCTTGTGAGGTTATAATGGTCAATAAGTAGGTTCAAGGGGGATTTATTAGTGATCACTGAGGAAGGTCTATGGGTCCTTTTGGTGGTTCTAGAAGTATTTGAGGAGGTTTCCGTGATCAGTAATGAGGTTCTAGTGTTTTATTAAAACATTCCAGTGGGCCTTAATAGATTTTGGGAGTCCTCCAAGTGGTAAAACCAATAAAACACTGGTGTCTAAGTTTTCATGTCAGTCATCAATAAAAATGTTTCCGCCCTCATGGACAATTTTCTGTAAATTATTTTCCACTACAGACTACTTCCAGTTGGTCAGTTTTTGCACAGAAACCTTGAGCTTTTGAATGATGTAACAACACATGCACGGCCTTTATTCGGTGTTAAACATTAGCAGCATCCAGCTGCTTATCAGTGTGTATCCTGTCACGTCAGTTGACACGTGAAGGCCAGAACATCAGAATCTTTGTCATGGGAAACTTTACCTGAACAGGTACAGTCAGATCATCATTCAGCCTTTTTCATTCACTCAGTAACAGAATAAATAACCTGAACTCTTGCAGCAGACTCTGTGTTTCACCCCTCAACACCTTAATGTTAGTTTTAGACCAAATATCACATGAACACAGTCTTTTTATCCAGAGGAACTGCAGCTGAACGCACCTTTGTTTTGGCTGCTCATCTGATCCATTAAATTATATTGACACAAATACTGATGTTTTAACAAGAACGCCTCCTAAACACTAAAGGCAAGACAAACAGGATCACATTAACTATTATTAACAAGCATAGCCTTAGAGAAAGCAGGCCAATATGACTCGTTTAAGAGGAAAACATTGGCTTTGTGTTTTTATCTCGGCGGATGATATGAACTGAGAGGCGTCTCACATCGCTGCCTTCATTGATTTAAGCTCCTCTGAAGCCAAAACACAGAGTCAGCATTCATTCACCGACAGCGAGACAACGACTTCATTCAGAACATGAACACAGACTGACTTCATGACGGTTTTCATGTTTTATCAACCTGCTGACGACAAACTGAACCCCCATCAGTTTCTGTCTGTTTATGATAAGAGACACTTGAGGACAGAATCTGAAAACAAAGACGTGAAGAAGTTTGACTTAATTTCATAAATACAGAAGAACCACTATGTAGCACAAGTTTTAATGTTGTGTTTAATTATCCGCAATTTACCTTAAACATAAATGTTGCTATTTGATGGTCACTCCAAAGTTTTAAGCTTTTGAAAATGATTGAAAACTTTTAAGCTAAATCTGTATTAACTGATGATGGGGTGAGGAGGGCGCAGTGGATAAGATGCATGCCTTTAGTGTGAGAGACCCAGGTTCCATTCCCCACTGTGACATTCACTAATGTGTCCCCGAGCAAGACCCTTAACCCCTAGTTGCTCCAGAGGCGCGTAACCTCTGACATGTATAACAAATGTAAGTCACTTTAGTTAAAAGCGTGAGCTAAATGAATAAATGTATTGTTTAGAATCTTTAAGCTAAAGATGCCTTGAACATGTAGTTTGTACCCCTGTTTTTCAGTATACATTTCGTCTTAATACTTGATCTTGGTGACAACAAGAGCCAAACAGCAATAAACAAATGCATTTTGTTTGATCCTGATTGATTAAGTCAGTTTCCATTGTACTTTTTTCACAAATTTCCTCCTCAGTCAGGCTCAGACTCTTTCAGAGAGATCTGCTTCTCTGTCATCAGTCCATTAAAGCTGACTCACAGTCAGATTGAGTTAAAGTCTGGTTGCAATTTTCTCTGTTATTTCAGTCGACGCTTCCAATGAAGATTTTGCATCGTTAATGAGGCCAGACGGAGGAGTCTGTTTGTCCTGCTGTTCACCTGTCTGTCTGTCTGTCCACCTGTACTTCTGTCTTTAGTGCTGGCCAAGCTGATCTGGGACCTGCAGTCCTTCCTGTCTGTTCTGGACTCGGAGAACCTGAGTTACATCGCTCAGTCTCAGAAGAAATCCATCTCAGAGCTGCTGTCCAAACTGCAAACAAATGACACTCCTGGTAATATTACTACTGCCATTACTGATAATACTACTAATTCCAATGCTAATACCCTGACCACTGTTAGTAGAGTTGACAAAATAAAAGTCTAAATAGTGAAAGAAGTTGAAGTGGCAGATAGATGAATTACTGAAAGAAGTCAGCAGTGAAGTAAATAAGCACTGAATGATGTTGAAGTGTTCATTATTGTATAAGCACCGAGTGAAGGTGAGGTGGTGCCAGCTGATGTATGACCACTGTAAAGAGTCAGTTGGAGAGTCAAGCCTGATTGATACTTCTGGCCCAAGCGTAGGATACTGAGCTACGGCATAGGGTACGAGGCTTCAGTATATGGTACTAGGCTACGGCATAGGATACGAGGCTACGGCATAGGGTACGAGGCTTCAGTATATGGTACGAGGCTACGGCATAGGATACGAGGCTACGGGATAGGGTACGAGGCTTCAGCATATGGTACGAGGCTACGGCATAGGATACGAGGCTTCGGCATATGGTACGAGGCTACGGCGTAGGATAGTGAGCTACGGCATAGGGTACGAGGCTTCGGCATATGTTACGAGGCTACGGTATAGGGTACGAGGCTTCAGTATATGGTACGAGGCTACGGCATAGGATACGAGTCTACGGCATAGGGTACGAGGCTTCAGTATATGGTACGAGGCTACGGCATAGGATACGAGGCTACGGCATAGGGTACGAGGCTTCGGCATATGTTACGAGGCTATGGCATAGGATACTGAGCTACGGCATAGGGTACGAGGCTTCAGTATATGGTACGAGGCTACGGCATAGGATACGAGGCTACGGCATAGGGTACGAGGCTTCAGTATATGGTACGAGGCTTCAGTATATGGTACGAGGCTACGGCATAGGATACTGAGCTACGGCATAGGGTACGATGCTTCAGTAAATGGTACGAGGCTTCAGTATATGGTACGAGGCTACGGCATAGGATACTGAGCTACGGCATAGGGTACGAGGCTTCAGTATATGGTACGAGGCTACGGTGTAGGATACGAGGCTACGGCATAGGGTACGAGGCTTCAGTAAATGGTACGAGGCTTCAGTAAATGGTACGAGGCTACGGCGTAGGATACGAGGCTACGGTGTAGGATACGAGGCTACGGCATAGGGTACGAGGCTTCAGTAAATGGTACGAGGCTACGGCGTAGGATACGAGGCTACGGCGTAGGATACGAGGCTACGGCATAGGGTACGAGGCTTCAGCATAGGGTACGAGGCTACGGCATATGATACTGAGCTACGGCATAGGGTACGAGGCTTCAGTATATGGTACGAGGCTACGGCGTAGGATACTGAGCTACGGCATAGGGTATGAGGCTTCAGTATATGGTACGAGGCTACGGCGTAGGATACTGAGCTACGGCATAGGGTACGAGGCTTCAGTATATGGTACGAGGCTACGGCATAGGATACGAGGCTACGGCATAGGGTACGAGGCTTCAATAAATGGTACGAGGCTACGGCGTAGGATACGAGGCTACGGCGTAGGATACGAGGCTACGGCATAGGGTACGAGGCTTCAGCATAGGATACTGAGCTACGGCATAGGATACTGAGCTACGGCATAGGGTACGAGGCTTCAGTATATGGTACGAGGCTACGGCGTAGGATACGAGGCTACGGCGTAGGATACGAGGCTTCAGTATATGGTATGAGGCTACAGCGTAGGATACGAGGCTACGGCGTAGGGTACGAGGCTACGGCGTAGGGTACGAGGCTTCAGTATGTGGTATGAGGCTACGGCGTAGGATACGAGGCTACGGCGTAGGGTACGAGGCTACGGCGTAGGATACGAGGCTACGGCGTAGGATACGAGGCTACGGCATAGGATACGAGGCTTCAGTATATGGTATGAGGCTACGGCGTAGGATACGAGGCTACGGCATAGGGTACGAGGCTACGGCGTAGGATACGAGGCTACGGCATAGGGTACGAGGCTTCATTATATGGTATGAGGCTACGGCGTAGGATACGAGGCTACGGCATAGGGTACGAGGCTACGGCATAGGATACGAGGCTACGGCGTAGGATACGAGGCTACGGCGTAGGGTACGAGGCTACGGCGTAGGGTACGAGGCTTCAGTATGTGGTATGAGGCTACGGCGTAGGATACGAGGCTACGGCGTAGGGTACGAGGCTACGGCGTAGGGTACGAGGCTACGGCGTAGGGTACGAGGCTTCAGTATGTGGTACGAGGCTACGGCGTAGGATACGAGGCTACGGCGTAGGATACGAGGCTACGGCATAGGATACGAGGCTTCAGTATATGGTATGAGGCTACGGCGTAGGATACGAGGCTACGGCATAGGGTACGAGGCTACGGCGTAGGATACGAGGCTACGGCATAGGGTACGAGGCTTCAGTATATGGTATGAGGCTACGGCGTAGGATACGAGGCTACGGCGTAGGATACGAGGCTACGGCGTAGGGTACGAGGCTACGGCGTAGGGTACGAGGCTTCAGTATGTGGTACGAGGCTACGGCGTAGGATACGAGGCTACGGCGTAGGATACGAGGCTACGGCATAGGATACGAGGCTTCAGTATATGGTATGAGGCTACGGCGTAGGATACGAGGCTACGGCATAGGGTACGAGGCTACGGCGTAGGATACGAGGCTACGGCGTAGGATACGAGGCTACGGCATAGGATACGAGGCTTCAGTATATGGTATGAGGCTACGGCGTAGGATACGAGGCTACGGCATAGGGTACGAGGCTACGGCATAGGGTACGAGGCTTCAGTATATGGTATGAGGCTACGGCGTAGGATACGAGGCTACGGCATAGGGTACGAGGCTACGGCATAGGATACGAGGCTACGGCGTAGGATACGAGGCTACGGCATAGGGTACGAGGCTACGGCATAGGGTACGAGGCTACGGCGTAGGGTACGAGGCTTCAGTATATGGTATGAGGCTACAGCGTAGGATACGAGGCTACGGCATAGGGTGCGAGGCTACGGCGTAGGGTACGAGGCTACGGCATAGGATACGAGGCTTCAGTATATGGAAAGAGATTAAGAGATTAAAGATGTTGAACTCCAATCAATACTTAGTACAGTCAGTTCACCTGGTAAAAACCCTGCTAACGTTTACTGACACTGACCGATGTGTTTGTTGTGTTTCCAGTGGAAGATGCCGAGTACATGATCATGAGCTGTCCAGCATCGTCTCCTACCAAAGAGCTGACAGACACACCTGGGACAGGTATCAGTCAGAAATACTGTGGAGGATCATTTAAGATACACAATCACGTTATGATGTTTCCAGTGTTGTGTGTGACATAAAGGACAGTTCAACATCAGATTTGTGTGTTTGTCCGTAAGGTGACCGTCGGTCCTCTGAGCTGGTCTTAAAGCGGGACTCATCTGTGTGGCTGAGAAATGGGGTGAGTCAAACACACGTCTAACATTCATGACCCAATGCATGCTGGGATAGACTCCCGCCTGCAGTTACTTTGCAGATTAAGGTTTATAATTAAAACACATGAAGAGTTAATAAAATATGACGTTTTGTTGTAAATTAAACCACAACAGTTTAAGGTATAGTCAATTCATAGAGGAAATAATCAGTAGATTGATCCAGAATGAAAATAATCATCAGCTGCAGTCTGGTTGGATGCTGGATGAAAGTTATCACCTGTCTACCTGCAATAAATTACCAAATGCTCCCTTACAGAAAAACCACATGAATTTCCTATGTTAAACATGTACTTCGCACATTGGAAACGTGGTTTTGTGGTGTAATATGTAAAACCCAGGTTAAATTTGCATGTGAAACATCTGGGGTTGCATGTTTTCCAGATGTACTCTACATGGTACCACATGTGATGACATGTAGGAAACATGTTTTCCACATGTGCGTCACATGTTATACTAGGTGTATGAGCCCGGCTACATCCACACTACTGCGTTTTTGTTGTAAAAGAGTTTTACAACAAAAACAATCTCCGTCCACACGAGTGTTTAAGCTGCGTATCAGAATTCTCAGTCCGAAAACGCACATGTAGTTGCCATTCACGTACACTGGGAATGTGGGTGCCGGTGCAGTTCCAGAAGATTTGGCGTCAGAAGACAGTACTACTAGAGCTGTTGAAGAACCACAGCAGAAAACAGACTGGGAGTCATTGCAAAGCAAACACCGGGACATGCACTGTATAAAATATTTTACATAAAATCACCAAAACTAAAACTCTGTATGTCTATAAGAGCCAATCAGGAAGCTAAACGTGAGTCCTCGGTTTTCACCTGTCCGCACTAAAATGCTACGCTGGAGTTTAAAACCAAACGTGCTCAGCAGCGTTTTCTCTGTTTCTGGTGTTCAGATTTGCTGTTTTAGTCTGGACGGGAGGCGGAAATGTAGCAGAAGGTCTGAGTTTTAAAACAAACAGGTAGTAGTGAGGATGGAGACTCAGGGCCTCAAATATGGACGCTTTGAGAAAACCTGCCTAAGCGTCAGTATTTGACGCACATGGTATCCTTTAGCGTCTGTAAGTAACTCCAATGTAACCCATCCACCATCATCTAATGTACTTATTTCGATACCAAACACGTTTTTCTAAACCTAACCAAGTAGTTTTGGTGCCTATAAAAACCCCAAACCACGATCTTTTCCTGAATCAGGCTTTTTCAATGTGTTTGACACCCTGAGATGAGACCGTGTTGGGTAGACATACAGTACAGTATTAACATCCACAGGTTTCACATAGGAATTTAAATTAGCGTCACACATTACTCCACAAAAATGTTCCAAAACCACGTTTCCCATGTGCAAAGTACATGTTTAACATATTTCACATGTTTTCACACATTAAATTTAACATGTGCCACATGTGGTGTTTCTGTAAGTGGCAGCAATTGGATGATGGATTCTTTGGACAGTCTTCCCTCCTCTACCACATTTTTGTTTTTAGATTATTGCCCATAGTAACTTTGTCAATGCAGGAGTTGTAAGTGTGGTAATAGTACTTTTACTTATAGTATAAAATCAGAATACTTCAACCACCACCGCAACATTACTCCACATTTTATTCAATATTTGAAACACCATGTGACATTTAGACATTTGTGCAGGTCAGACTCGACTTTGTCTGATTTGGATTCTCTTTACACTGTTGTTTTTTTACTCTCCTGAACTCTTCAAGATGGTTCCCCCTGAGGTTAAAGAAAAGTGGGCTTTTTTTTAGATAACAGCAGGAGGAGGAGGAGGAGGAGGAGGATGCTGGTTTGTGATGTGGGTCAGTAATGACAGACTGAGTCCTCCTGAGGTTAGGGAGGAGACGGCAGGGTTACTGTGTGTGCGTTAGGGAGTGACAGGATGCTCAGTGTTTACATATGAGGCCATCTCTCCTGTATCTGTCGTCCTATTGGCTGAGAACTCTGCAGATGGAGGAAGTGGTCACTGATGGCGGCCGATTAGCATCTGGTCTACGTGATGGATGGACAGAACACCCACACACTCTAACCCTGTCTCCCGGGACATTTAATTCATATGCAACTCATTTACAAACATTATGTTGCGTTCACTAGCAGCTTTTAGCACCAGTTCAGTGTGACATTTAGCAGAGAGCACAGTGAGAGTTACTGTCCTGTCTACCACTCAGCGTTCTCAATATTTAACCATGTGCTCAATGTTTCTCTAACCTTATTTATCGAGTGGTTAAGTTGTCTAACTTTAGCCCGAGGGCTTGAGCCCAAACAATGGATGTATTGAGAAAGCTAGAAGCACAAAATCCCACTTGATGGCAGTTTGTCCCACAGATTCAAGGATTCAAAGCTTTATTGGTACTCTGGCATCCGTCACTCGTCATTATCTCGCTTGCAGCTTGGTCAGAATGCAGCTGCTAGATTGTTGACTGGTTCAAACAAGAGGGATCACATCTCCCCGATACCTGCCGCTCTTATAGAGACGATTTTAAGGTGCCGCTTGTTTTTAAGGCATCACATTGATTTGCTCCGTCTTATATTTCTGATCTCCTAACGTTTTATCACTTTTCCAAACCCTGAGATCATCAAACCAGTTCTTTTTAGCCGTCCCACAGTCTCGTATGAGAACAAAGGGTGATCGTGCCGTTTCAGTGGTGGCATAAACTTCCCTTGGTTATCAGATCATCCCCCACGCCACCCAGACTTTTGAGTCTGGACTAAAATGTAGCATTTTTATTCGTTGGCGTTTCTGTTTGGGGACACTCGAACTGTCTTTTTTTTTTATCTCTTGTTGTATGTCATAAATTGATTGGCCTGTTTTTATTTATCTGTTTTTTTATTGCATAACTTTGTTCAGCACTCAAGTCAACATTGGATGTTTTTAAATGTGCTTTACCGACCTACCTACCATTGTTGGTAGGGAGCTGGAAGTGAACAGCGGTTTCTGGTGTTAATTAACATTTTAAATCTAGTTTGTTTAATCTGTACAAAAAAACAACATCTCATTTAAGTGTCTTGCTCCAGGACACATTGGTGGATGTGTCACATGGATAATCGCACCCTGGCCTCCCACACCGAAGGCGTGTGCCTTGTTTACTGTACCATCCAATCCACTTTATTTATATAGCACAATTTAAAAAACAACAAGGTGCTTTACAGAGATGAAATAAACCACCAAACTTCAATCTTCAGGATCAATCTGATTTGCAAATAAGTTGCATTTCCCAAAATTTCAGACTGTTCGTTTAATGCAGGAGTCACCTGGATATTATACATTTCTGGAAAAATCTCTGAATACTACAGTACCCATGAGCCTCAGCAGCTGTTGCTCTGGAGAAGACGCCATCCAGAGCTGCATCATACTGCTGAACTGATTCCTGTAATGTCACATTCAGGGCCCAGTGGTGCCGCCCCTCCCTCCAGGTGGACTTGACGATGATGAAGATACCTACGAGGAGGCAGAACCTTACGTAGCTGACACAACCACATCTGGTATCTACACACACAAACACACACACAGCATCATGTTGTAAAACTTGATTAATTAATCGTTTTTAACCCTGTCCTGCCCAGCAGCCTGGTATGACCGGGCCAGGTGGCAAGTTGTTAATATAAAAACGTCTTTCTTATTCCCTCAGGAAAGGCAGAGTCAGACAGCAGCCACTACGAGTCGTACGGGGAGGAAGATGATGATGAGGAGCCCGTGAAGGACAAAGCTCACTACATCCAATGGAGCGCCTCCCAGCCCTGCCTAAGACCCGCCCCCGAGTCCCGCCTCTGTGGCTACCTGTGGAGGAGGAAGTGGCTCGGACAGTGGACCAAACAGCTGTTCTTCATCAGGAACAACATGCTCCTGGTGAGAGCGGTGACATTTTCCCTCTAACACTAAAATATTGTTCTTTTTACTCCACTACATTTATCTGACTGCTTTAGTTACCTTACAGATTAATATTTAAACACAAAACAAATGAATAGTTTATAAAATGTGATGTTTTTGTTATAAAACAATAAGTCGATTGTCAGACAATTAAAAATAAACTAGTTTTGAGTAATTTTTCAACGGTTCAGCCTATCACGTGAAGATTTGCTGCTTTTCATTAAGATATTCGTGATAATTTTAAGGTTTGTTAACAACGTTGAGTTTTGGACTGTTGGTTGGACACAACAAACGTTTGGAGGTCTGTGAAGATACCAGGTCGTAAGTATCCAAGAAAGGTTAAAATCAAGGGGAAATGGACTTGGGTTGAAGAAACTCAAAGATGTTTCGCCTTAGAGTCCCAGCTATTAAACCTCTGTGGGGTCATTGTAGAGGTGATGGATACCGCTTGGTTCGTTAATGCTCCTGGCTGTTGTAACGACAGTCGTTGTGGTCGTTGGAGTCACGTGAGGTCTTAACCGTGATTGGATTTTCACACGAGGCAGAGTGGAGATGAAAGGACAGCATCTGGGGGATAAATGCGTAAATGTTGTCGCAAAGCTCCTCCCCGTTGAGAGCCAGTCTCTTTAGTTTGGTGTAAATGGCCTCTTTCACTCCTCTTTCGAACCATCGCTCCTCTTGGTCCAAAATATGTTCATTGTCCTTCAAATGTAAGTAACCTGCTGAGTCTTCACCTCAGGAGTTGGTCCTTCTCTGTTGGACAGGGAGGACATATGACTTGACACAGGACATTTATATCAGAATAGAGAGGCCATCTCTCAACGGGGAGGAGTGTTCAAACACCACTTATCCCACACCTACAACGCTTTCCTTTCATCTCTTCCCAAGAAACCGAACAAACCCTCATATTCGGCCTCATGTGCCAATGAGGTTCGATCAGACTTGGCCTCACATGACTCCAACAACAACCAGGAGCACAAACCAACCAAACGGTCTCCATCACCTTGATAATGACTCCACAGAAGTTAAATAGTTGAGATTCCCTACCAGTCAGCCAACCTGTTCTCCTCCCAAAGGGTCACATGTGGACACTTTGTCATGACCCTTTAACGCCCCGGGTACCCTTTAGCATCGTTCTTGTATGTGTAGGGCTCCGCGGTACAGTTAGCAAGAATAATTATGCATCGTCTGGTTAGACTTTCAAAATAAAACTTGTGGTTGTCGTGAAACGTTTGGTTTGGGCACCAATGCGACTTGGTTAAGTTTAGGAAAAGATGGTTTCCTAAAGTGGTTTGGGTTAAAATAAATATAGTAACGTAACATCACTAAAAGGAATCAATGTTTGCTTTTTGTTTCACACGGGAAACAAACACGTCCATCTTTTCTGTTATTTATAGTATAGTAGTGAACTATGACACAAACGGGTGCCATGTGCGTTGGTGCCAGACGCCGAAAGACGTGACAAAGCGTAGTTATCTGACCCTCTGGGAATGAGAACGGGCTGGTCAGTAAGAGCTGAAGAAGTCTCTTGGATGAGAGACGAGAAATCTTCGAGTTTCTTCCACCAAGTCCAGCTGCTCTTGATTATACCTCTACTTGGATAAGCGTTGTGAAGGTGTCACTCTGGGCTTTGGGAAACTGTGGCGGCATTTCGTAGAATCTTCACAAACCAAACAATCGATTAACGTCAGAGAGCAGTAAACTCAACAAACTTATTGACATAGAACCAACACAATAGCTAAAAGCTGCAGATCTGCCTTTGGGTTTTATTTACTGAATCCTTAGAGAAACTGCAGTATTTACCCACAATATGTGCTCTCTCAGCTTTCTGATCCATTATAACCAGCTGGTTTAAGGAAATATGTTTGGCTGAGTTCCTGTCTGACGGACAGACTGTGAAATATGTTGTTCCATATTCGTCTTCGCTGATATCGTCCTTGCGTGTGTGTGTCAGTGTTATAAGTGCGCTCAGGACCTGCTGCCTCAGCTGGAGATGAACCTGCGCGGCTGTCAGCTCGTCTACAAGTCGAAGAGCAACAGGAAGATCCAGCACCAGCTCAGACTGGTTCCGGTGGGCTCGGAGACACTGGTGCTGGGCTACGGCAGCTTCCAGCAGGCCGACGAGTGGAGGAGGGTCAGCAACACGCAAAGCATCTAATTACTAACACTGAATGTGTGGTATTCACCAGTCATACTGTAATCAGCTGTACTGTACACGTTTGTGTCGGCAGGTGATAGAGGAGGTGAGTGCTGGAGGTGAGGTTGAGACTCGGAGTTCGTTGTCTCTGATCAGATCAGACCAGCTGCTGTCCTGCAGGGTGAGACACAAACGTTTGTACTAACTCTACTCTGTACTAACTTGTTCAGAGCTCAACTGGAACATGGTTTTAAAATATAAAATGTGACGTTTCTGTATGTCTCTCCAGTCCAGTACAGTCCAGACTGACTCTGAGGAGGAGAAACCTTCAGCTCGCTGCAGCCTCAACAGAGACAAAGGTACAGGTGTCATGAGAGTCTGTTAAAGCTGCAGTGTTTCAAAAATACTTTACTACAACATTTACCAGGTGGATTGTGATGGAAGTTGGTTCAGACCATACACGGTATAAAGGAAGTGGATGTAGCCACCATGATATCCCCTGTTGGTTTGTGGACTACCATTTTGAATCCTCCAGTTTGGCATTTTGGCCGTCGCCATCTTGGATATTTGGAAACAGATGTGACCATGTTTGGACAAAACGGTGGAGCTAGCTAGATGGGTTAGCAGGGTGCATCTGTAAATCACATCAACTGTGTAGCTTTAAATGCTAATCTGTGACATTTCCTCTGGCGCCATCATCAGGTCAACGACGACAAACAGTATGAAAGTATAAATAAACAAAATGTATGCAAAATGGCCCCTGTCAGTGTTTTAGGATTGGATCATTATTAATGATGTATTAATATCTAAGCGGTACTTCAGAGTGACCTCTGACCTCTGGTGTGTTTGATTGACAGGTGTCCTGAGCGTGCTGATGAACTGTCAGTGGCAGAGTTTAGTATGTCAGGTGGAGGCCGGCGTTCTCAACATGTTTGGAGAGGAGGAAGAGGAGGAGGAGGTGAAGAGGGACCGGTCGCCTCAGTACACCGTCCAGCTCAGAGGGTGTGAGGTCAGAGCCGGGCCCGACACCAACCACTCCTACAGGATCACACTGAGCATGCTCGGTGACCAGGTGGCTGTGCTGGAGGTGAGCTGACGTGGCAGGAAATTATTAATATGAACTCATACGTACAAACATACTGTGCATTTCAGCCATTTCTCATTCCAAGAGCACCAATTAGCTATGCACAACTTATGTAATTTAAGTCACGTAAGTAACGTACTTATTTTAACCCAAACCATGATCTTCTCTTAAACCTGACCGGGTAGTTTTGGTGTCCCATTAATCACTAGTTTTATTTTGAAAGTCTAACTGGGTGTAGCACATTTATTTCTGCTAACTTGACAGAGCAATGTCAAGTTAGCATGTTCAAAAACAACACTAAAGCGGTACCCAGAGCGTTAAAACCTGATTTATACTTCCGTGTCGAATCTATGCCATAGCCTACACAGAGCACTGTGTAAAAAACTCAAAAACTACACGTTGCGGCGATGCAGCACACAGGAACTGTGATTGGTCGGCTTGGTAATATCGGCAATTTTACCAATCGTGTGGTTCCACTTGATGTAAGGGTCTACTGCGCATGCATCACTACTACCACACATGTGCAGTAGAAGTATAACCTGTGGGGGAAAACTCTTCTTAAACCTTAAGTCTTCAAACTTTATCAGATTTTACTGCTGATTCTAAAAAATGAAGATTCTAAAAAATGAAGTGTTTTTGTCCCGGTGACCACTGGAAGTGCAGTTATCATCTCTCCCCATTCATTCAGATAGGAACCTGATCTTGTTAGTCAGAAATAACCGCCCGGAGTCGTTACCAAGATGGTTGCCAAGTGTCGGAACTTTGATAAAAAAAAACAGGCTTTACAAGCGACACCAGGTCTTGACAAAGCGTCAACATGTGACGCCACTGGGATGAGAACGTGTTGTAATATGTCATATTTTTGTGTGTCCTTCCTTCCATCAGGTCAGTAGCTCAGATGAAAAGGAGCGATGGTTAAAGCTGCTGCAGGACGGCGCTGCTAATCACAGTAACCATGAAAACAGCACACAGCAGCACACAGGTGGAGCTCTCAGGTAAGAGAGTCTGTTAATCATCAGTATATCAGCTCCTCCATTCATGTAGCATTTCTCAGAGTTATAATGGAAATTTAAAAGAGCAGTGGTCCAAGAATAGAACCCTGAGGTACCCCACGCCATTTTTCACTTCTTCTTCTTCTTCTTCTTCTGTGGTGATTTTGTTTTATCGTTTTCCTTCCTCAGCGGGCTGCAGACTCGAAGGTTTCCCACCTCCAACACCTACATGGACGACCCCTTCCATCTGAGTGGAACAGGCAGAGAGCAGCCTATCTACTCCAACAGCTCCATACTGGAGCACATGGTAAGGCTCCAAAATCACGCAATGCTCCGTATGTATCCCCGGAGAAATGCGCATTGAAAGTGTCAGGATATTAAAGACACGTTAACCACTAAATGTAACCTTGGGCGGAGGCTTGTTGGCAGTGCATTGAGTACATTTGCACAGCGTTCTCTTTTATATATATTAAATCCATTGTGATAAAAAAGGGGTAATAATCCAAGAAAAAAACTCTGAATTTCACAGATTAATGTGATAAATTTAAGGGGGAAAATAATCACAAATCTACAAGCAAAACACTTGAATACTCTGACATTATACTCAAACATTTATGAGAGGAAATAGTGTTTTTAAATACAGGGTAACCTGAATTGCCATGGCAACAGACCTCAGGTAACACCTATCCACCTTTCGTAGTACAGGTTAATCATGAAGAACAAAGTTACTCCTAAAGTTACCTGGCTTCGTAGTACAGGCCACAGGTTACGACAGATATTAATGATCTGTGTTTGTCGTGTTTCAGCTCCACACTTCTCAGGATTCAGTTCGCTGCAGCTCGGTGTCGTCCAGAGACTCAGTGACCTACAGCAACGCCATCTTCACCACCCACAGTGAGTCTCGTCTCATAAATAAACTGGTTACCACCAGAGAACATGAAATCCCAGGGGCCTAATTTCCCAGTGGAGATCATTATTGTTTTAGCTAGAATCTCTGTCTGAACGTTGTCCTCTGACTGTCCAGTCACCACAGTCCTGTTGAGAGAAGATGTGAGTTGATAAAGCGAGGGCTTTGCAGATTTAATTTGCTCCAGGGGTCGCCTCTCAGGCTACATACCTACCGGCTGGAAGTTGCACATGCATGCAGAAATCTTACCAAGCAGACATCTGTCTGATCTGAGGTCAGTTTGTTATTGGACAGTTCTTGCAGGGACCCATCAGTTAAAACGTTGCTCGTTATTAAAACCTCCACAGACTTTCTGCTTTAACATGTTCATTAATAAAAACTGTTTGCTGTGTTTCAGACAGGAAGTTGGTGGAAGCGGAGCGAGGCGTTCAGAAGCTGGAGCTGACCGGGAAGAGGCCGGTGCAGCTGAGGGCGGGGTCAGAGATCAACCTGTCGTCTGCTGGGAAGCAAAACAAGCGCACCTCTTTTAGACAGTCGCTGGCCGTCTGCACTGAGCGCGCTCAGGTAGGAAAAGCCAGGTGACGGGTGGATCACACAAACAACAAGACGAGAACACGTTTGATTCAGTTAAATAAGCTTTTGGGCGACTCCTGGTTTATATTCTGTGACTCATTTCTTTAATATCTGCTCATTTCTATAAACTCTAGGCCAGTTGCCGCCTAAAGTTCGTAGAAGTGAGAGATTGTAGTTGAATAAAAACTATGGTTAACGTTTGGTTAGGTTTATGCAGCTAAAAGATTTTGTTTGATAAAAATCATGGTGAAATAAACTAGTTTTAAAAAATGACCAGGTCTCATCTGTTCAAGTTACCAGAAATCACAAGTTAACATTTAAAATCAAAAAGATGATTTAACAGTGGCGCCCTTTGCATGCTGTACTCTCTGGCAAAAGTTCAGCTTTCCTGCTCTGGATTCTGTATCATAACTGAGCCACGCTGTGTGCTTTGACCTTGGTTTCTGTTCTGCTGGTCCAGGCGGGTTTCCTGAACCCTCTGCTGCGACGGACGGCCTCAGCAAAAAACTCTCTGAGACGAGCTCCGTCAGCGCTGTTCATCGAACATGGAAAGGTTTTCCAGAGGAGGAAGGTGAGAGTCGCACACACAGCGCTTCTCCTTTGACCACAAATCACATGTACATTACAGATTTCAGATCATTTCTAGGCAGATGAATGTGCAGACAGAAGAGAGTCCATCACAGTCTACAGTCTACTTATTTTTTTATCAAATGTTACGTGCTGCGATTGCACAGACAAGAGAAACAGGTTTTTGAGTCCAGGAGCAGACGTCAGAGCACAGCTGAGGTTTGCAACAGTTTTAGATGTTGTAGTTAGATTAGATTAGAAGTAAAACCTGAGGGAATAACACTTTTTAAACCTTATTTTGCTGCAATGTTTTTGGATTTTGCTGGTGACTCTATGCATGCAGTGTTTAAGTGTTTATGTCCCGGTGATCGGTGACAGTGCAACGTTTCTCTCCCCATTCATTCACATAGAGGCCTGATCTTAGGCCCCATCCACACTGCTGCGTTTTCAAATTAAAACGGAGACCTTCTGCTACGTTTGCACCTCCCGTCCAGAGTTAAACGACGAAAACAAAGACCTAAAACGGAGAAGTTTGCATCGTGTTTCTTGCAAAGCAGAAACACGATGCTACTGACTGAGTTTTTGACTTGGTATTTTTATTAAAATATTCTGTACCGTGCAAATAACGCTCATCTGCCTACACTTGTACTGTGCATGTCGCCGTTTACTTTGCGACGACTCCCAGTCTGTTTTCCGCCGCCACACTCCCGTGTTACATTCAGTAACAGTCCCAGCTCGCTATTGGTGCATGCAAAACAAAAAACTGGTCTGATGCTTCGTCTGTTTTTATTTATTTCTTTGCCAAGTCTTCTGTAATTACGGAACAGACCATCTGCTTCATCTTTATACCGGCACGCTCATGCCCAGTGTAACTGAACGGGTCCTCGCTGTGCGTTTTCAGTCGTTTTAATGTAGACGGAGATCGTATTCTTTTTCATTTTCGGTTTTTAAACTAAAACGGAGCAGTGTGGACGGGGCCTTAGTCCCAAGATGGCTGCAGAGTGGCGGGACTTACCTATATAAGGACTAGATTGTAGAAGGTCGAGTTGTTGAATACTCAGATTCGGATTCCTTAATTGTCACAACGAAACTGAGTGCAGTGCTGACGGTACATTCCACATAAACAAAAGAAAAGAGACATGACAACAAACTTAAAATATAAAGAGTTTCAGCGAAACTAAATCAAGCTTCTAAACATGCAAATAAATAAGATAAAATGTGAAGATTCTGAAGATCTGTGCAGTGACTGCAGTGTGTTTGTGATTTGATTGACCTGAAGCGTCTTCCAGAGGTCAGCAGGTCAAACAGATGATGTCCTGGGATAGTCTGATATCCAGTTAACTCTGCTGTTACTGATTTCACAGGAATGGGAAACCAAAGCTGCTGCTTGACCCCGACCGTCCAATCATCACACCCCTCCTACAAACAACAGCTGAAGAACCTTCTGAGAACCGATGTGGATTTAATTGAAAATGACTAAACTAAATGTCAGCTCTGGCCTCTCTGACTGCTCAAGACATAAACTCTGATATCTAACATATCAGTGAACCAGCCTTCACCCACCGCATGAGGCTTTTCCATAAACCTAAAAGTTGTCAAACGGCATCAACAGAAAATGCATAATGCACAAGGAACAGAGGCAGAGCTTTGATTTAACGCCGAGCAACGAACACACGTCACCAAATATGCCCCCGAAATCAACAGAACCAGCGTTAACTTATATTTAATTTGTACTTTCTGTAAATATGTGTCATAGCGCTTATGTACCCGTCCACACGCAGCCCTAAATGTACGACAGCCGAGCTGCCAAACGAACTGTTTCTCAAACCCAAGTCGTCACACGCGTGGTGAAGAGCAGTCTGCGTCAGTTCGTAACTGGGATCCCTTTAGTGTCACAGTTCAACACACTGGGGGAAGCCCTGTAGCGTCGTTTATGAACGCTAAAGGTAGGTGTGGGATCCCAAAAGTCAGAGTAAGGAGGCGGTTGGGGTGGACAGGTCAGAAACCGAACTTTCACCCGGGTGACCAGATGTTTGTTTCCTGCGTGTAACAAAAAGTCAACATTGAATGTTTTTATTTAAGTTACCCAAGTAACGTCACTTAAGCCAAGGCGGGTTTATTGTAGCACAATTCAACAAAGAGGCAAATCAAAGTGCTTTACATAAAACATGAAAGCAACATAGGGAAATATAAAAAAGAGTCAAAAAGAAATAAAAACAGGTTAATTTACATAAACCTATTTGTTCACCCATAATTCTACGGGAATACGAATAATCAGGCTTTTTACCTTCCATAGTTTTGCTGTTTTGATTTCCCATCTCTCACACCAAACCATCACCGCCAACATTTATTTCCTCTTATTCACGATCGTCACCGTGAATCCAGATTGTTTGTGCTACTTAACTTACGTAACTTTCGTCAACTATGATCTTTTCCTAAACACAGTAGTGAAGGTGTTGGTGTCTAAACCTAACAAAATACAAAGTTTCACGTCAACCACTAGTTTTATTTTGAAAATCCAATCGAATGTTGCATATTTATTGTTGCTAACTTGACCGCAGAGCCATACACGTCCAAAAGCGATACTAAACGGTACCCAGGGCATTAAAACGTGGCGCCAAGGGTCTTCCACATAGACGGTATAAAAGAAGTGGATATAGTGACGTCACCCGTTGGTTTGTGGACTGCCATTTTGAAGCCATGAGTTTAGCCAATAGGCCGTCGCTATGTTGATTTTTTTGGAAACCAGCGTCACCGGACGTGACCATATTTGAACGACAGGGTGGAGCTAGCTAGCCTATAAATCACGTTAACTCTGATATTAGCTGGGATGCTAATTTTGGCGAGCGACAAACAGGCTTAAACCTAAACGTGCTTACCTGAAACAAATGAGCAGCCGACTCCTAATAACTTTTTTCAGCGGCGCTGGTTAAATGTACACAGAGCAGCGGATAGCGGCCTGATTGACAGGTCACCATGGTATCGACTTGTTGCTCACAAGTTAGCCCCGCCCTAAAGCCTCCCCTGCTTCCTGGTCTCTGTTCCTCTAAATGGGACCATAATTTACTAAATGAACATCATGCTGTGTTGAAGAAGACTTGAAACTAGAGACTGAGACCATAAACTCATCAGGAAAGTGTTTACTGAGGGAATAAATCAGCTGACAAGTAGAAACATTTCTCTTCTATACAATCACACTTCTCTCTGCAGCCGCTGGAGTCGCCCCCTGCTGGCTGCTGGAGAGGACGCAGGTTTAAGGCTCTGCAGCATTGGCTTCACTTGTGAAAGCTGGAGGTTACAGCTCAGTTTAGACCAAGCGTCCATATGTGACGATGTCAGAGTGAGAATATGTTGACCAAACGTGTGAACATGTATTTATATGCAGACACCTGATTTAGTGCACGGCCGTTATTCTACAAAACTCACACTTTCTTTAAACGTGGTGTTTTTGTTAACCACTACTCGAGGCTTTTTTGATATTTTAATAAACAAAATGTAATTTAAGATGCATCACAATAATATATTGTTAGTTAGGAATCCAGAGCGTCCTGTTGTTCTCGGTGCTTTGAAGCAGTTAAACAACATGCTGGTTATACATGTGCCGTTTAGTCACTTCCTGCTTCACAGCCAATCAGAGAGAGCTGGAGTCCGTGAACTCTGTTAACGTGTGATGGAAATATTTTGTGGAAAACTCTTCACTGTGTTCAGGATGACGACTTATTGTTGTAAAGTGTTTGAAATGTTTAGTTCTGTTTTGTTTAATGGTCTCTGAGATGTAACTGTGTGTTCTAACCAGCGGTGGAACAAGAAGTATTCAGATCCTTTACTTCAATACAAATACAAATACCACACTGAGAAAATACTCCTGCATGCAAAACCGAACTTAAGTAAAAGCACGTAAATAGTATCAGCTAAATGTACTTAGAGTATGAAAGTTCTCATGTTGCAGTAAAATGTTCCTTGTCAGTGTTTCATGAATACAAATGTACTCAAGTGAAAGTATTCTGCAAAACAACTACTCTTTGAGGTACACTTTATTTTAAAAAAGTACACGTAACAGGGTAAATGTAACTCGAAACTACCCACTACTGGAAAAGTACTGCATTCAAAACTTTACTTGAGTAAAAGTATGTAAGTGTTATCAGCTAAATGTACTTACAGTATGAAAGTAAAAGTACTTACTTTGCGATAAAATGTTCCCTGTCAGTGTTTCACGATAACAAATGTACTCAAGTAAAAGAATTCTGAAAAACAACAAGTACAAGTACCTCAAATTTGTACTAAAGCACTTGTGTAAATGTATTTTCCACCGCTGGTTATAACTGAAACCGTTTTGTTTCTGTCCTCACAGGACTACAAATCATTGATGATTTATGTTTGTTACCATGACCGCCGCTCATTTGCATAATATTTTGTATTTACTGGATTTTATAATAATCTCAGGATTTCTTTGTTGACTAAACACTGATCTGTAAAATGATTCTGAAACATTAAAAACTGAATTTTACATCATCTTTGTTTTGGTTTTTTTGCGTGTGAATGTTTGAAATGTTGATTTGGTCGCACGAAGGTTCAGGCAGAGGAAGTATAAAAACAGCATTAAAATATACCTAAAGTACCAAAAGTAAAAGTACTCCTTATGCAGAATAATATATTTGATATTACTGAATAATTATTATTGATGCATTGTAGTGTAAAAGTGAAAAAAGCTCCTTCTAGGCTGCATGAAACACACAGACTCTGTGGACCCTCGTGATCAAAAATTTAACTAGTAACATTTTCATTCTTACAATTATTTAGTTACTAGTTATTTATTAAAGAATAGTAAAATGGCTTGTTGTTGTTTTGTTCTTACTAGTAACTAATAGAATAATTACTAGTAGCTAAGAAATAAGCACTAGTAGCTAAACATTAGATTATAATGGAAATAGTTGCAGGTAACTATTCGAATCGATGTATGGCGTTTTTTAAATTTATTCCTTAAAACTTACAAGTTGCTGATTAAAAACTACCAGTAATTATTTATTAGTTACTATTAACTATTTCTGTTTTACTAAGAAGATATACTTTATTTATTTAATCCCCTGAGGGGAAACTCAATGTTTTCACTATGTTATCTGAAATAAACACACATGCACAAACACGACCCACAGCAACACACGAGACATGTCAGTTTGAGGCGTTTGCTCAAGGCCTCCAGCTACCAGTCCACGCTCTGCAACTCTGGTCCGAGCTGGATTCGAACCGGCGACCCTCCGGTTCCAGCCTAATCCTGCCTACTAGTAACAAGTGATCAGATCCTAGTAGAGCAATTTTTTTCTTACTACTAACTAATACAATAATTAGAAGCAACTAAAAAAAAGTTACTCATAGGCCTAATTAAAAGTTTTACTAGAAGTACTAATAGTACTTTACTAATAGAAGTACTATTGTCTAATTGTTACTAGTAAAACTGGAATAGTTACTACCAACTAATAAATAATTACTGGTAGCTTTTAATCAGCGACTAGTAAGTTTTAAGGATAAATGTAAAAACAGCTCACCATTAAAATCACAGAAACACGTGTGAACGTCCCGCTCTCGTCCACTGGCAGCAGACACTCCTAAAGTCTCGCGGTGTTTGTCCGTGTTAGCGCTGCAGAAGAAGAATCGCGGAAGAGAGGAAAGGTTTCCTGACGGATCAGGATCACCGGGCAAACAAGCTAACTTCCCCAAGAACAGCAGTTTAATCAGGTTCACAGGTTAGGTAGACACCCCGCCAGAAGGTAAAACAACTTGATTCACACCCTCTCTCTTCTGTCTGCTTCATTATGTCACGTGTTTTGATGCGAATCGGCCTCCTGCTGTTATTAGCATGTTAGCAAGTGCAGCCGTTAGCCGGTTAGCTTCAGAGCTAACAGGAGGGATTCAGAGGTTTTCTCGGAGGAGGAAGTCAGCTGATTGTGTTTACTACTTCTGCTAAAGGCGGCCGGTTCCCTCCTGCGTGACTGTCACGGAGTTTCACGGCTCGTGCTAAAGCTGAGCTCGGTGTGTAGCCTAGCTGAGTGTTAGCCTAGCTGAGTGTTAGCCTAGCCGGCTGCTCCCTTTTTGTTTGTTGTCCAGTGAAACGGTTTCACCGCAGAGCTGATTAAAGTGCTGCAGCTCTCAGACAGGGTGTGGGCTCTCTGTTCGGACTGTCAGGGCTTTGTTCTGCATCGGGACTCTGGTTTTTCTCTCTCTCTCCCCCCTTCACAGACTCAAGATGACAGCCGCACCTTACAACTACTCCTACATCTTCAAGTACATCATCATCGGTGAGTTCTTCACAGGGAGGGAGGTCTGATGGTGGACAGAGAGGTTAAACAGCCGGGGGGGGGGTATTCAGACAGAAAAGTACCACAAAAATACTGTTAAAGTTGTGCATTTAAAATGTTCCTGCAGGCAAAGTACGTGAGTATCATTAGGAGGATTAAAGCAGTAAAATGTTGTACTGTTATATTCGTATGTACGTTCTGCTGTAAGTCAGAATGTGGGAACAACACGGACGCCGCTATAAAGATGTGTTGGATTAACATCATCCAGCTCTGCTCAGACACTTTGAAGCTGTTCAATTACAAATAAATAACTTTCCTAATGAATCTGCTTCACTCCACATGCACAGCATAATAACCCTAATGCTTCATTTGTCACATACATGACGGCACTGACTGGAGAACCTGCCTAACATGTTCGTGATGGTGGTCCCCATCACAAACAGAGAGGCCGGGGTTCGAACCCGCGACCTTCTTAATACCATATCACAAATGACACCTTAGCAAATATGTATATGCAATGCGTAATTTCGCACCTTTAATCAGAAGTTTCTAACAATCAGCCACGTCGTCCGCCATGTTTCTACGTGTATGACGCAGGGCTGAACGGTTAATCGTTTTCAAATCGAAATTGCGATTTGAAAGGACGCGATTAGCTGATTGTGAAGACGGCGATTTAAAATGTAGGTTAATTAAACAGACCTGCTCGCCAATCAGAGCGGGCACGGGGCGTGTACATTTCACAGCGACAAACGAAACTAGAAGAAAACGTGGGATAATGGCGCCAGGCGCACCGACACAGGCGGCCAGTCATCTTGTGTTTATTGTTGATGTACGATCGGGAGTCTGCAAAAGGTGTTTTATTTTAAAAATTGACCAGACCTTCTGCTCTGTGCTGCTTGACGCGGCTTCAGTCAAAAATAGACTTGCAGTGAATATCGAACTTTAAAAAAAAGAATAATCGCAAATGGAATCGCAGCATCTGGCAGAAAAATCTAAATTAGATTTCCCCCCAAATTGTTCAACCCTACTATGACTCCCCAACTCCATCCATCCACCCGTCCCTCGTCAGCCGCTTATCCTGCGTACACCCCGGACAGCTCGCCAGTCCGTCGCAGGGCCAACTCGCCAACTCGTGTAGCAAAATTTTCTTCGTCGTTCAGGTGAACTTTCCCACTCTGGAAATAATTTTTCAGATTATTCACCACATGAATGCACAAATATCCCTCATGCATTAATGTAAAGCAGCATTTCACTGCTGTAGTTGTTGAGCTGAAGCTCCTTTTGAACTGTTTAGTATTCGCGACAGACTAATTGATTAACTGATCGGGCAGATAGCTGCACTCCTGAGGCCGATAAAGAAAGATGTCTGCAGGCCGCCTCCTCGGGGAGCAGTGATGTTAGTAAATCATCAGAGTGAGTTTGGAGCCCTAAATGTTCCCAGTCACCATTGTCTTTTTAAACGTTCCTCTTTTCTGTTCCTGCTGTTGAGCTGCAGCTCATTCTGAACTGTTCTTTGAGCTCATCACTGTTGTGATGGTGGAAATAAAAAAACAAACGAAATGAACAGTTATGAGTAACTTCCTGTTTTGGGCTCCGGGCTGCTCTCATACATACCTGACGTAGACGCGCCGGGCTGCGGAAAATGTATCATAGCTTGTCTTAATCTTACTACAGATTAGACACGGGTGGTGAAATAAAATGTGCAAGATAACGTTTATTTCTTTAATTTCTCCAGTACTGAAAGCAGAAGCGTTGATGTCGGAGCTTATCGATGCTACAGTTTTTCATAATTTAGGCCCACAGCGACATCGTCCAACCAACCGTCTGAACCTCAGCGTTATTAACAAACAACAATATTTCAGAGGAAAAGCAGCAAATTTTCACCTGAGAGACGCCGAAACCATCAAATGTTTTACAGGAAAATGACTTCAGCCATTAATTTTCTGTCAATCGACTAATTGATGAACTGTTGGGGAAGTTAATTTATAACAAAACATCATATTTTATATGTTTTGTGTGTAAAAAAAATAAATCTATCTATCTATCTTAATCTGTAAAGTAGTACAATATTAGAGTAGAAGTACCTCGAATCTGTATTTAACTTCAGTACTAATTTACATCCACCACTGCAAAATAAAGTACTAAAAAACAGCCTCAGTATGAAAATACATTTAAAGTAAACTTCACTGTTTAAGTTCAACAACAAAGGTAATAATAAATGTGTGTGTATAGTGTACAGATGGTTTGTGTGGCGTCGTGCTGCCATGCGGCGCTCAGGTAGCACGTCTAAGCAGAATTACCAGCTTTAATAGGACCACGTGTCTATTTGGACCAAGTAACTTTACAGGAACAATTCGATTTTCTACCTTCCAGACAGCTAAATGCAGGAGTTTATGTCTCTGAAAATTGATTTGCCGAGGCTTCCCAGAGACGAGCAGTCTGTGACGGGCCGGCTGCTCGTGTTGGCTCGCCAGTTCACCGTCGCAGAGCGTCAGGAGTCGGACTCGAGTCTCTGCGCGCGAATCAGCACAACGAGATGAACTGTGATAGGAAAAATACCAGGTTCAAGAGGCCGGTGGACACTGGAGAGAAGGCAACTACAACTCCCAGGGGGCATTTCACTAACAAACATCCAATCACAAGCTTCATGCACACAGAGAGCTGCAGCTGAAGATCACGCCTCGTAAGGCAGGTTTATTTATACAGCAGCAAGAAAAGTCAGAGTGATTTACATAAAAGCAACGCAAGAGAAATTTAAAAAATACAATTAAAAGTTAAATAGAAAATAAAATCAGGTTAAAACAGGACAGTTATAATATAATTATTATTATAATTATTATTAATGAAATGCTTAGATTTGAATATTTAAATAGATTAATTTAAAAGAGTTTCAGCAGACCTGCAGTTTGTTACGGAGAATAAAAACTGAACGCTGCTTCTCCAGGTTTAGTTTTAGAAAGCAGACCAGACACAAATCTGAGGCAACACTCAAAACAATTATAATTAAAAAAAAATTTCAGTCCCTTTTCTCCTGAACAAAATAAATATCTTAGTAGAAAAATGAAGTGCTGATTCGTTCTTTCTTCAAATGAATTAAATCATTTTTTTAAGCACAGGTTGGCTGTGGTTGGATGACATCATTAATAAGTGGCTGATATTTTAACAACTGTATTTGAGTTTGCAAATCTTAGGGACTTACCAGGCGGGAGGGGGAATTTAATTGATTTTTATTGGTGATTAAGTACTGATTAGTAAGGATTAGAGGAACATATTTGTGGACGATGTGAGTTTATCAGATCATCACTGAAAATGTCCCGGGAAATGATCTGGATGAGCCCTGATGGGAAAAGCTGAGAGTGGGAACCCTGATCTCCCTGAACTTATTAAACGGAGATGATTCAGTGAGCCAGGAAACGTAAAAGCATGTGAACTACGAAGAGAAAAGAGGATGCTGCCTAAAGCTAAACTCTCTGGTCCTCTGTTGCTCTTAATTTCCAAACCTGAGAACATGTGGAGCAGCTGCTCCTGGTGTCTCTGAACAGCTGCTTCAGGTTCACGTTAAAAGTCAAATGCACATTAGATGACAGACGCAGCGGCTGCCGCTCGCATCACATTCGGCCGCCACGACTGATTGGATGAGAATTTATATCCTGTCTGATGAAACTGAATCCTGGACCGGGAGCCTCTCTGATCAGGGTCGTGCAGCTGCCGGTGTGACTTCCCCCTGACCTCTGACCTGGCGTTTTTACTTCCTGTCTCTCTCCAGGTGATATGGGAGTAGGGAAGTCGTGTCTGCTGCACCAGTTCACAGAGAAGAAATGTGAGTCTCTCCTCCTCCTCCTGTCGTCTTCCACCTCCCTCTTCCTCAGTCATCTTTCTCCTCCTCTTCATATTCTCTTTCTTTTGTCTCATCACACTAACTGTCAGTCAGACTCTCCATCCTCCTAAAACTTTCTTTCTTTTGTTAAGGATCAGAAACAAATGTTTCTCAAAAACTTTCTCAAAATAAATGTTTGGTATTAGAAAAAGATGTTAAATCCATAATGAGATGTAACCTCCTGAATCAGAAAACGCTCTCTGACTCATCATCCATCTTATTTTCATGCGAATTTTAAACGTACTTTAGAAATGTCGCAAAAAAGAAATTGTGAAATCTGTGAGTTTCCATCAGCTGGTTCGGAGCGAATAAACCAGGCTGCGGCGAGCGTAGTTTCGCCAGCAGTTGATGTTACACATGGCTGTAAAAAAACAAGACGTCTGGGTTCAAACCAGAAACAAAACCAGTCGCTAGAACCTGATGGACAGTGATCTGAGAAAAATGTAGAGAGGAATGTATTTCAAGCTGCGAGCCACGTCTCCGCACGTTATGGGAACATCCGGTGCTACGCAGAGTTTTGCGTGCACCTCCAGATAACGCTTTTAAACGATAGATCATCCTTTTGTGGGGTTCATCGGTGGTGATGAAAGACTCGAAGGATATATATTTTATGAACGTTAAGAGACGTTAATATTTTTTTACACTCAGCAGAAGCAGCATTCATTGATAGCATTCAGCGTGCAGAGCAAAGGATCTGAAAAGCAGAACAGATGACGACGGCTTCCTGCCCAGATCTGCATCCACCTCTTTCTCAGCACAAATGAGCGTTAGCAGCCGCGAGGTGCAGGCGTGCAGAACTCTGCACAACCGGGCGAGACGCCGACAACAGAAACAAGTTCGCTGCGTCAGAACTTATTCGGAAAAAGTGTTTCCATCTCCCGTTTAGCGCATTTACTGTTTTTCTACAAAAAAACACCTACAGCCAGCGTAAATTAAGGATTTTATTTTGCCGTTTTCATCCACCTTTTCTAATGCGATACTTCAAAAAAAGGAGTGATGGTTAAAAAGTGTAAGTGCAGGATGCAGTTCAGACTGGTAGGAAATATTAACCAACCGTTTTACATACAGTCTGTTAGCCTGTGTATCTGCAACATTATCGTGCAGGTGACAACGTGTAGTGACTGGGGGCAACTGTAGGCCTACTACAGGTCACACAAGGCAGCTCAAGAAACCATTATAAGGCAATCCTTGGTCTTTTTCCATTATTGTGACTTCCTGTGGGTACGCAAACGATCCAGCATTCAAAGGCTTCAGTGTTTTCACTGTGTTCGCAGAGCGAGCTTATTAGAAAGTGGATTCAGGATCTAGGACCTCTAAACTACGACTAAACGCTGTATTAACCTCGGGGCTGGTGTGTTGCTGCTAAGACTGATGTGTGTGTTTTACGTGTGCAGTCATGGCGGACTGCCCTCACACCATCGGGGTGGAGTTCGGGACGAGGATCATGGAGGTCCACGGTCAGAAGGTGAAGCTGCAGATCTGGGACACGGCAGGTCAGGAGCGCTTCAGGGCCGTCACCAGGTCCTATTACAGAGGGGCCGCCGGGGCCCTCATGGTGTACGACATCACCAGGTACGTTCTCTTCTCCTGCTCCAGACGCAGCCAACCAATAAACAGATGTGTTCAGGTTCGCTTGGATTTAAGGGGAAAACGAGTCCCAAGTTTACGAACACTGTAGGTGTGAAAACTCTTTGTCTCATCGTTTCCTTCATGCGTGTTTGTGTTTAGGAGAAGTACTTATAATCACCTGAGCAGCTGGTTGACAGACGCCAGGAACCTGACCAACCCAAACACAGTGAGTCAACACAAACATCACTAAACATCTTGCTGCTCAAACAGCTCCAGGGGCCACAGAGCCGCAGGAACCTAAAGGCCCATGTGCTCATTCCTGTTTGTTTTCACCACGTCTGAAAAACACTATGGAGTTTTTACTCACAAGAAGGACGTCAGGAAGTCATTCCCCTACAGGTGGGACTTTCTAAACCGCTGCAGCAGAGGAACTAAAGGTTCTCTGGTTCCTCCAATTGAAAAGAAAGTCGCAGTTCAGGTTTCTGAGCTCTTTAAAGGGTTCTGGGTTCCTAAATCTGGTGCAGTCAGTAGAAACTCCTTAAAATAAGGGCAGTGAATGTTGTAACTTTAAGACTCCAAACACAATAATGATGTTTTGGACAAATGTTATCAAGATGAAACATTTCACATCATTCGATATCGATAATTATCAGGATAAATCAATCAAATCATTATTTCTTTCAGGTTTAAAGGGTCTGATTTTTGCTCCAGAGTGAAAGTAAATTGTGGATTTAAACTTTCCTTCCTGGTCAGAACAAACACTTGATGCCAAACAGCGGATCTCTTCACAGATCTGAGGCAGAACATTCAAAACTATTATGACAAAATCCTTTTTCAACAAATATGCACGAGGAAAATTAAGTAAAATCTTTTTTCAGTCTTTTATTTTTTTCCCTCAACAAAATAAATATCTTAATAAAAAATGAAGTGCTGAATAGTTTGTGATTCAAATGAATTAAAACAAACATTTATTGAACATTTGTTACACGTTATTTAAGAAAATTAACTTCATGATAATTATGTACAATAAATATTCACCAACTGCAATAAATAAGAAATGGATCGATCTAGCCATCCACAGAGACGTGTCACGAACAAACCACGCTCTACAAAGAACTGTAACGTAAAAGTAAAAGTATTCCCTCGCCTCGTTAAAGCGCCTCTATATGAAGGATTACACCGTCAGAAGGATGGAGGTTTGTTCGGGTAACTGGGTCAAAAATATCACATCATCATCACGCCGTCCGCCTGACCAGCCCGTGGTCATTCATCCTCATTTGTTTTTCAAACATGCAAATTCCTTTTTTAATCATATGGACTTTCTCTTGTTATAAACAGCCTTTGGGTACGTGATTTTAGCTATTTCAAAGTAAATAAAATCTTAAAATCTTTAATAAATTTAATTTGGTAGACTCCTTTTCCTTTATAGTTTATCACCTGTGTGCGTCTCTTCGTCCAGGTGATCATTCTGATTGGTAACAAGGCCGACCTGGAGGCTCAGAGAGACGTGACGTATGAGGAGGCCAAACAGTTCGCTGAAGAGAACGGTGAGAAGTGTAAAATGTTCAAGTTAACATCAAGCTGAAAACAGGTCATGGCAGTGATTCTGATCTCTTCTTCTGCTGTTGATGATCAGGTTTGCTGTTTCTCGAGGCCAGCGCTAAGACGTAAGTACTCACACACACTTCTTTCATCAGTAACTATCAGATTTTGGAGGTAACGCTGTGAAGCTTTTCTGTTTCTTCATACAGACAAATACACACAGAGTAACATGCATCCAAATGTTGTTACACGTGAAGCATTAAAACACACAGCTACACACATTAGAGGCCCTGACGTCCAAAATTTTGATCCTGATCTGAAGCGGATCCTTGAAAAACATTTCCCAGAAGCCAAAAGCGACCTGAGGTGCGACTGTGTGCATGTGACAATGACCTAATCTGTAAGACTTGCTCGCCATCTTCTTCCCTCCCTCTTTTTCCTCAGAGGGGAGAACGTGGAAGAGGCCTTCTTGGAAGCGGCAAAGAGGATTTACCAGAACATCCAAGATGGCAGTCTGGACCTGAACGCTGCAGAGTCGGGAGTCCAGCACAAACCGTCCGCGCCGCAGGGAGGCCGCCTCAACGCCGACAGCCAGCCGCCCAAAGAAGGCTGCAGCTGCTAACCACAGACAGAAACTACAGACCCATCACATGGACGGACGGACGGAGACGGACACATACGTACACAGAGATCCCCTCTCCAGCAGGCACTGACATGCGTCTTCTATCCAGAGAGCGTCAACCAGGATTTAGCTGGACTACATTTAACATGGCAGTGGTCCAGCCCAACCACCTGTTGTTAAATCAGGTCAGTACCCAAAACAAAATTCAACCATCTACCACCCAATCAGACATTTACCACGTCTGGTTAAATCAGGACCCCCTCAATCAAATCCATGAACCCACAACTATCCAGACTTCTGGGCGCCGCCTCTGGATCAGTCTCAAATTTAGATCGGTGTTAGACCAGACAACAACTCCCAAATCAGGACCATCCTAGACCTAAACTGGATCCCATTCTGCACACAGTGAATCCAGCTCAAATCAGCTCAAATCCTGACCACTCTAGGTCCACTTTTGGACCAAGCTGGGTCTCGTTCCAGGTCACTCACAATGCCACAATCCAAATATGCAGCCCACGTTCAGGCACGCTTGGGCAAAACCTACAGCAATCTGGACTACTGTGAGTCCAGATTAGAATAGCCATCATCCCAGCACCAAGTCTGGACTACTTGTTGGCGCAACTCAAGTAAAAATTGTCTCAAGAGAAAAAATAAAGATTTAAGGCTCAAATTTGGACCAACTTGGTGTCCCGAGTATCGCACCAAAATGTTTTTTTTCCTCAGTTTCAAATCGGGACATCGCTATGGAGAGATCCAGAGCCTTGGCTTAAGACGGTCCAAAATAAATCTGCCTTCTGCCCCCACATCCAGACAACCAATTGGGACCCACCAGAACAGGACGGCGATAAACCCATAGCAGACGACCTTTTTACCCTTCTTCCATCTCTGGAGCACCGTTAGCCAAGCTCATGTGAGGTGGGGGCCTAAATGTGAGACTACCCTGGTCTCACATGTGGAACACTATTAATCCAAAACACAAAGACGCAAGGCTCAAATTTGGACAAGCCATGGTTTCAACGGGACATCGCTATGGACACATCTAGATCCTAGACTCAGGCTGGTCTGGCCTTGGTTAAAATTGACACTGCCTTCACCCCACATCCAGGCTCGCTTGGCCCAAAAGTACAGCCAGCACTAGACAACCATTTTCCCAAGACGGTATACGTGGGACGCTTTTGTCCAAGAGACAAATAAAGATATAATGCTCAAATTCAGACGAACCTTCAGCCCAAATCTGGACTACTTCACTAAAATTCGGATCACCCAAGTTCCAACTCCGGACATTCCTATGGACCGAGCCTCGGCTCAAGCACTACTGCTGTTGGTCCAAATCAAGGACCACCTGCGGTCCAGATCTTCAAACCTAGACCTTGATTTTAGGGTCACATTTAGTTATAATGTGATCGTGTTAATGCCCAGTTCTGACATTCACTCTTTGATATGAACTTTTGGATTTATAGTCGTACTTATGTCTAATACATATGTGATATCCCGTCTTTAAAGTCCATGCTTCAGAACCATAAATTCTAACACAAGAGTGGCCTGGACACCTGATCTCCAGGATTCCTTTTTCCACACAAAACATTTCTTCCCATGCTCGAGTTCATGCCAGTGAACGCCTCATCTCACTTGTTCTTCATCCATGAGTTGCAGCTTTTACACCATGTTTGTAATGTGGATCGGAGACTTTTCAAACGGTTGTTCTTCTGGTCAAATGCGTCTCTGGAGGCGTTTCTTCTATGTTATTTCACTTTGACTGCAGTCACCTCTACAGTAAAAGCCTCGCTTGGCTCCAAACAAACAGGTCTAAATCAATGGAAAACCCCTTTTAATCCCAACAGGAAAGAGACCTGTGGAAACCCTACCCGAATCCAACATGCATAAAAAAAAATGAATTATCAGGTGTACCTGAGGACACTAAGAACCCTGCCTGAACAAATTAGACTGAATATTATTTGGACCCCGCCTTACTTGGGGTCTGGTTCAGCAGGATACAGTAGGAACTGAGTGAACCCTTGAAGGCTCTTCACAAACATATATTCACAGACAGGAACCCCAAACACCTTTTTAAAAGACAAAAATAATTAAATAATTTTGTTTAAGGCAGTTTTGAATATTGATATCTCTGTGCAGAGGGCAGGTAACGGATTGAAATTACTGAACCTGAATGTCGATACTGGTCCCCGAGTGGATCACAAGTTCAGGATAGATTTTTATTAAATGTTTCTTGTCAAAGTTGATTTTTATTTTTTATTCCTAACGTGTTTCTAAATATATACAGAATATTTTCAACGTCACGGCTCCCCCTAGAGGCCATTTTTTGCGTCCCTCTTGGTTAAGTGTCTGTTGAGGGAAGAAAAATGGCACAAGGGGAAGCAAGGCAGATTCTCTTTATTTATTACTGCCTGTTTTTGTTAACGTTAGGCCGGGATTACACTTTACTTGAATGCTTTAAAGGCCAGTTTATACTTCTGCCGTCGTGAGCATTTATACATGTGCATTGGTGCCTGCGTCGCTATGCAATTACACCGCCTAGTTGCTAGCTACAAGCTAGTTGGCGGTGCGGTTTCTGTGTTCCACTGTGTTGACTTCTGTTAGCTGAGCCGGCTAACTTCCAGTTTTGCCCTCCCCTAACGTGGGAGTAAAACAATTTTAGTCCCAAATAATAATAATGACTTTCCAAATGTTATTGACTGAATGGATCAAATTCTGATATGGAAACGAGTCATTTCGTGGGGGCTGTCTGCTTGTTTGGCCACTAGGAAAATGTGCTTCAAATCACGGAGCACTTCCTGGAGGCTTGGAGGTAATGCAAAATGCTACCAAGCAGAACAATCACAGTTCTTGCGTTTGCTTGTCAGGCTACCGTATAGGTGACTTGGCTGTGCGTACGGTACGGTGTAGTGTAGTGTACGCGCCTGCGTATTGGGTACGGCGTAGATTTGACGCAGAAGTATAAATTGGCCTAAAGGCCTTTGCACACAAAGTCCGTATTTTTCGTCAGAAATTGTCGCAAGTTCCGGAAAAGATTCGATCTTCAAAATTTTTTACATTAGCATTTTAGCACGTAGGCAGCAGGTCAGACAGTGATACTCATGTGGAAGATGATGAGGAAGGACATGTAATAGAGGATGAGGACAGTGTCGCCAAAATCATCCTCACTGCTTGACGCTTCGGTCTTGCATTAGAAATTTTCGCAACAAATAGAATAATAAAACGCATTGAACTCGGTGTGCAAGGTTTCTGTGCGTAGCAGTTTTTATCAGATGAGGGGGAAAAAGCAAAACGAAATACACGGACTTGGTGTGCAAAGGCCTTTAACTCTGGTTTCTGGCTGAAGGCGTCACACGTCTTACTTCCTCATGTGAAAACTAAACTGAATATTGGTTAGCTCTGCAAACGTAATGAGACAGATTTATTTGTGCGTAAGAGGTGCAAAAAAATACAAACCCCTGATATCTTTTTGCAAAAATGTGAAAAACTATGCCTTCTGACAAAACGTCAGACTTCTGCAGTTCAACTCAAAATGCCCGAGCCTTGATGTCCTGAAGTGCTTTAGTTTCCTCTAATGCCGCTAACTGCCACTCAACAACTAAATGATTAAATGTAAAATGAATTCATGGGTGTCGAGTGTGATCCCGGCGCTACATGAACCGGTTCTCAGACTAATAGAGTGGGTCGGTAAATTTTGTTCTTTAAAGAAGCATTCCAGCGCTAACTGACTACAAAACAGAAACACCACCTATGTAGCGCCGCTTAACTTTATTTTAGAATGGATGTTTTGGTCACTAGGGGGCAGAAAAAGACCAAAACAAGCTGACGTTTAAGCCATTTGATTCAGTCTTTTAAAAAGAAATCGATTAATACAGCTTTAACCTGATGTGATTCTGCTCTCGTTCTCTGATGCATTAACGTCAGATTTACACTAAATGGATCAGCTGCCAAGCTTCCAGTTTATGTCCAGCGTCTCTGCAAAATGCATTGTAAAATAGTAATCAGTAATACTGCTTAAATACCAGGAAGGGTTCGGAGATGTTTTATAAAGCTGGAGAAATGTTTCCCCTCGACATCCGAATGAGTCCCAGAAGCAACAAATGTCACCAACAGGATGAATCGGATCAATCAAGAGAATTACACATTAATCAAAATAATCTTTTCAATAATCTTCCATCAGTTGAAAAATCAAGTTTTCTAAAGTTAATTGTTTATTTTATAGTTTCCTTTTTCCCCCAGTGTTTTTAAGGAAAATGGGAAGTATCGAGAGGAAAATGAGAAATATGATAACCAAATTAAACGAGCTAGTGGAAAGGAAATGTGTGTTTCGGCTTGAAAAAAAACACTTTAATTCAGAATAATAAAAATATCAGTGTTGAGATTCAAAGCCAAAGTTATGAGATGTTGATTCACCTACTAATAATCATGATTTAAAGTCATAATCTTGACTTGTATTTTTATCATGCCTCCGTGTTTCCTGGTGATCGTTTTCACTGATCTAACACTTCTGACTCACAGTGACATGAGTTGTCTTTTATTGTAAGTGTAATTTGTTAAAACATTTAAAAATGTATCACTTTTATTAACGATGTGGAGGTAAAGTAAGAAATCTATTAACTGAAATGATTTAACTCTGTAATGTACAAACTCTACTTATCGGTGACATTTGTCTCCTCTGGGACTCTGTACTTGTTGCGCTTTAGTTCTGAATAAAAGTTTGTTTAGACTTTAAAAGGCTTGGAGGAAGTTGTTTTGCTGTTCTGGCTCACTCTGATCTCCCCGTCCTCCGTGAGACCGCGGTTCAGATCCTGGTCTCCCTCAGACCCCGTGTACATATCCAGTCAGAACTCAAGTGTTAAGGATCTCAAAGCCAAGTGCTGTTTGTGTGTCCAGGCTTCACTGAGGACTTCCTGGACCACTTCCAACACAAAACCTGGTTTTTAAACTGTGTCCACGTCTGTCTGAATGGGGAGTAGTTTGATTTTACTCTTCGTTGTCCTCTGATTGGTGGACAGCAGCCTTCTGCAGCAGTGATGCTTGATTTATGAATGAAGTCCTCACTGTAAAAAACAACAAACAACCCAACACATCGCAGGTTTTCAGACATCTTGTTACTTTTCGTCACTTAACAAACTGCACGCTGCATTCGCTGGAGGAAAAAGAGCTTTTTTTTTTTTGTAGTTTTTCCTTCGTTGACGCTTGTGTTTTGAAGTTTTTCAGGAACCAAAGGGTCACAAAACAGGAAGTCATTGGATTCACAAAAGAAACAAAAACCCTGCAGGTTAAAGTTCTGTTGTGACGGCCGCCTTAAGCCTCCCTCGCCAAAGAAAAACACAAGCATCTAATTAAAGAAAACACTCAAATTTAAAACGCAACAGAAGATGCCACTGCCTGCTTACAGCAGTGCCAGGTCTGCAGTGGGCAGCGTTGTTGTAGCGTAATCGCCTTTAAATTGGTAAAATATGTACGTTTAAAGACGCTCACCCTGATATAAACGTGACATCTCCATTTGTTAATAATACAACAGATGTAACCAGGCTGAGAACCTCTGAAACTGCAGGTCAGAGTTGTTCGGTTGCAACGTGCTCCGTGCAGTTTACTCTTTTTCTTTCTGTAATGTCTATTGATTGTCTGCTAAAGTAACGAACATGCTTCCTATGATTCTTCTTTGACTATTTATACTCTTAAATCAGTAATGATTTTCTTCAGCTGTACCTTTTCATTGTGGGGATTCAGTTCTTTGTAAATAAAGTATATATACTGTATATACGCTGACGACTCTCTGTCTTTTGTCAGATTTTCTGCACCTTCGTTTGCAGGGAAACGCAGCTAGCTTGCTTGACCAAAGTCATTAAGTACCTTTCAATACCTTTCATTTCTGAATTAAATTCTTTTTTCTTAACTTACATTTTGAGATACTGGAAGTTACCTTTTGCCTAATAAAACAGCAACAAAAGGTATTAACGTTCTTTATTTGGGACATAAAGAAAACCGTTAACAAGAAAGTTTGTGTTTTCGAAGATAATTTGTGTTTTTCTTAAAAACAGACATAACAGAATTTAAAGCAGATTTAAAGCAGAGGTAAAGTCTCTTTTGGTGGTTTACTCAGAAAGCAGATCTGATTTCAGGTCAGATCCGTCCTGCATCTCCATGAACAGATGAAATGATTCCAGTCTCTGTACAAACAAACATGATGTCCAGCAGGTTTGTATTTCCTACATCCGTTTCTCTGAAAAGCTGAAACATGACTCTGGGGTTTTCGGTTTCAGATTTTAACTTCAGTAAAGTGGGACATTTAAACATTGTGTGATAATGAAGAGTCCTCCAGCAGAAATCCGTCCAGTCAGAAAGTTCTGGTTTATTTGGATTTCAGTCTCCATCCAAACTCATTAGTGATGTTGGAAGAAGCACTCAGATCAAGTACAAAACTATCATAATATACATATCAAAATATACTTAAAGGACCACATTTAAAAGTACTCATGCAGAATAAAACTTATTAGGTGATTTATATTTTGTAACAATCTTAAATGTAACTAAATGGAGTGGAGTAGAAATATAAAGTAGCATAACGTTTAAATACTAAGTAAGTAAAATAAAAGTACCTCAAAATAACAAATACAGTACTTGAGGACAAGTTATTTCACCTTTATGGGGCAAAATGTGAGAAATGATGTTGCTTTCTTTATTCTACTCATTTACTTTTTAAATGTATTTTAGTAGTTTTACTACTTTCAGACAGAAAGAAAAACTGACTGGACAGATGCTGCGAGAGAGAGCTGGTGTTTATTGTTTTGGTTGAACTGAACCTTTAAATGAATTTAGAGGATTTAAAAAGTGTTTAAAGTATACTGAATCAATTTATCAGTTTATTAGGAATATCTAGCGAAAACTGAAGCAATAAATCCCTTCGTGAAGGTTATGTTCAGTCCTTGAGAAGTATTAGATATTATAAACACCTCTCGGTATAACACGATAGTTGGGCTGTAACTAACGATTGTTTTCTTGATTAATCTATTGGTTGTTTGAGGTATAAAATGTCAGAAGGTGAAGAATTTCTCCCAAAGCTCAAGAGGACATTCCCAAATGCTTTTTGTCCACAACACACAGATATTCAGTTTACTCTCATAAATTTTAAATTCTTAAAAAAAAGACTCAAACTGATTAATTGATTATCAAAATAGTCGGCGATTTATTTGATAGTTGGCAACTAATTAATCGCTGCAGCTCTACAAACTGAATCCTCCAGAATGATTCTGCATCTGAACCAACGAACTGAACTTTTTAACCTTCACTCCGGAGGATTTACTGCAGACTGGCTTTAGCTCGGTGTGGCTAATAAACTGGTGCTAACACACCCACATGGTATAGAGCGTTGAAGTCCTTCCCTTCTGTCCCACGGGACCTTATTTTGAAAGAAATATGCACAGTGGGAGACAACTAATGTTTAGATCCTGTTTGAATTGAGTCCTGAATGACACGTTTGTCAGTTTAAAAGAATTTAAGTCAAGAAACTCAGTTTGTCGTAAAACAGTACAGTAACATTTAGTTTTGTGTGAAACCGCTCAGTGAACTACATCTCTCGTCTCACACAATACGTGTCAGCAACATTTTAGCGCTGTAATGCTAAGCTAACGTTAATTTCTGGTAGCTTAGCTATGTTCCACACACACACAGATGTTTCTCACCTGACGTGTTTAATCCAACGACCCCTGGTCCTTTAAACACATCACCTACACATGGAAGCTTCAGTCACTGAGGGAAACACTTTGTGTTCGTTCGAATTATGTATTTTCTTACAGTTAAGCTGATGATACACGGAGCAACTTTTAGAGCAATGGTGCAGGGCAATGTTGCCATCTAGCAACATTGCCCTGCACCATTGCTGAGAAAATTGCCCTGTGTATCATCAGCTTAACTGATGTGTTGTGTGTAGCATGAAGGAACTACAAATCCTTGTTATGCCGCCCTGTGCTGTAAAATGACGAACAAACAACCTTGAACCGGTCAGAAGTTTTACAACAGTGGTTTGTAGTTCTGTAAGTCTAAGTAGGTCAAGTCAAGTTAAAAACCTTAAATGGCACCAAAGTAAGCAGCAAACTGCCAAAGTTACGTCACCAAAACATTTTCAGATGTTAAATTAACAAGTTTTGTTCATTATTTCACTGTAGGATCTACTGATGACCAGCTGCTCTGACTTCATTAACATTTTATAGAATACAGTCCAAATAAAGTTAGAGAGTTAAAGAGTTAACAGGCTGCTCCAAGGTGTTTACTCACTGCTGCAGAGTTGTTAACTCATTATTGATCCATGAAATTTACATTATTTCTTAGTTTTGTTGACCTAAACTTTGTCTTTACCTTCTTTGGTCATTCTGCAGCAGTGGAAGGAAAGTAAACACGTTTCTACAGTAAACACCTTGGAGCGGCCTGTTAATCCGCCCTCACAACATTTATATGTACTGAATTTTATATATAGTTATGAAGGCAGAGCAGCTGGTCATCAGTTGATCCTACGGTGAAATAATGACCAAAACTCCTTCATTTAATTGTTAATTTTGCCTCTGAAAGTGTTTGTTTTGGTGACGGAAACGTTGGTTTACCGCTTCACTTTGGTTGCATATAAAGGTTTTTCACTGGACTTGAACTAGTTAGATTTACAGAACTACAAACATGGCGGTGTTCTAAAACTTAACTTTGGACCGATATTTTAACGACAAAATGCGACTTTCTTGACTTAAATTATCTTTTTTTAAACTAACAAACATCACGCGTTTTCATTCAGGACACAATTTAAACGGGATCTAAACACTAGTCGTCTCTCGCCGTCTACCAACGTACATGTGTTTCCTGAAATAAGATGCCATGGTGGTCCACGGGAAGGGGGAGGGGCTAACTCTGTTGTTAGCATGTAGCTTGTTAGCTTTGAAGACCAGAAAAGAGAGAGGGGCACGTTAGCAACGATAAAGTGAGATGAAAAGTCTCTGCTGCCGTCTGACCGTCAACAAGCAGCCGCACGGCTTCTACGGCGGCGAACGGTAGCAGCAGCTGCTCAGGAGGTCAGAAAACTTTATTCGTCACTTAACACGTGAACAGAGCGGTCCAGAGTCCGTTTCAGAAAAGGCTGAGTACAAAAAACACACCGACGACGATCCCGAGTCTGTTAGCGTGGAGGGGGGCGTGTCCTCGGCAGGAGTCTGCTGACCTCACAGACGGCACACAGTTTGATTGGCAGCAGAGGTGGTGTGACATCACAACGTGGTTCTGCTCTTGGAGGCGGGCTCTGTCTCCTGCTCGTACTCGATCTCCACGTACGCTCGCTTCTTCCTCGCCGCCGAGCCGTTTGCCGGAGATTTGCCTTTAGACTTGGAGGCCTTCGTCTGCACCTCCATCTCTTCCTCCTCCTCCTCTTCTTCACTGGACGACTCCTCTTCCTCGTCCTGTTCCTCCTCGTCGCTGCTCGTCTTCAGTTTGTTCATGTCCTGAGAGAAGAAACAGAAATATCGATGGTGCAGGTTTATAACAACGAACTTAAGCTACCTTTAACCTCCACTAACTGCACACGACAGCTGCTTTATTGATCCTGTAAAACAAAGTTACCTCGAAGTCGCTCAGGTCGCTCTCCTCCACTTCTTCTTCTGCTACAAACTCGCTCTTCCCGACGTCCTGCAACAGAAAAGGAGAGCGTTCATAAATGCCCACAGAGCTGAACGTGTTCTGGCTCTGACCCTGAAACGCCGAGTGTCCTTCATCATCACCTCATCATCTTCCTCCTCCTCCTCTTCCTCAGACTCGGACTCGCTCTCCTGGTCCTGCTGCTCCAGGGCTCTGTCGAAGGCGTGCACCGGGAAGTTGTATATGTCTCCGTACTGAAAACACAACACACACAAATGTTTATTAACCCAAAACAAAAACACATTTCATTCTGTCCGAGCTTGGCACGCCGCCGCGCTTACGTTAGCACGCCGCCGCGCTTACGTTAGCACGCCGCCGCGCTTACGTTATGTTAGCTCACACTGCAGTTGATGACCTGAACTAAAGTGTAAACTCAAGTATTTGATGAGTAATGAATTACATTTACTCTCATTACTGTAACAGTTTCATTACTGTAACAGTTTTTTTAATGTACTTCTGGAATATCTTTAATTATCTGCATTTTTTATTTACTGTCTTTTGTTTGAGTTGTGGCTCTTTTGCTGTCAGTTGCAGTAAGTTTATAACTAGTTGGTTTGGACGTGATGTCGTTCGTCTGCACTTTATTTTGACACCTGAAATATGTTATTTATTTAATAGTAAGTCGATTAATTGTTTAGTGGTCGATTATTAAATTATTCGCCAACTTTATTCCGATACCAGCTTCTTAAATGTGAATAGTTTCTGGTTTCTTTCCTCCTCTGTGACAGTAAACCGAATACCTTTAGGTTGTGGACAGAACAAGACATTTTACGACGTCAGGTCGGGCTTTGGGAAACGCCGAGCAACATTTTTCACCATTTTCTGGCGCCAACAACTTATGAAGAAAATACAGATTAATCGATAATGACAATACTCATTAGCTGCTGCCCTAATAGTTAATCACATCAGCATAAACATGTACTGAGCAAAAGTTTTAGGCAGGTGTGGGGAAAAAATGCTTCAGCGTGTCGTACCGTTCCCTGCTTGAGTCTCTCCAGCAGCTCCTTCTCGATGGCGTTGTCCAGCTGAGCGGCGATCAGAGCTTTCTCCTGCAAACAGACACAACAATACGGCTCAATACGGTTAAAACGCCGCCGACGCTCCCGTCTGAAGAGCGAGCGAGTGTTGCTAACGTTCGGCTCACCTCTTTCCTCTTCTCTCTCTTCTCCACCTTCCTGCTGAGAGGAACCAGCTTCCTCCTGAAAGACAGTCAGACCATAAACTTTATTAAAACGGAAACAGCTGAATCCGCTTTGCTTCTGCGGCTCGTCTCTTTTTTCGCCGTTGACTCTTTGACACGTGCAAACCAACAAATCACAATCAACACCCAGATAACGCCACGTCTACCAGCTGATGGAGTCCAGAGATATCGTTTTAAGCTTTCATCCTTAAAACAGTGTCTCTTTCACTGTTATCCAATCAAATCTGATGTTCATATTTACATTTTGCTCATGGTTAGTGATGTCACTAAATAATAATACCTGTCAGTCGCTTTTTATGGCGTAGATCAGAGATCTTCTTTCGACCGCGGTGGAAACAAACCTTTTAGTTCCTCGAAAAGTAGATCCTGGTACTAAAAGACACGGCTACATGCGTTTATAGAAGGAACCCGTAACACATGTTGCAAGTGCTGCAGATCACATGTAGCGCTGATCGGACCTGCTCCTCGCCGCCGCCACAACATCTAAAACAAACCTCAGGTTGTGAACTGATGTCAGTGGAGCCGCACGACCAGCTGAATGCGTCTCCCGGCTCGGCTGTTAAAAAGCAGACGATTGGTTTTCTAGCTGGAGGGGGCGGGAATGTGCATACAACCGCCATGTTTGCCGTTACGGGCTTTTCCTCAAGGATTATGTTCAGGACTCTCTAAGATCGTCTCTGGTGCTGCTTGCCTTCTAACTTCATGTTTAACTGCTCGAGTTAAAGGATTATCTCACACTCTCACTTCGTCCCAGTGTTTCTCTTCTGTTCCTTGATACAATATGTTCAGATTTAGAAACTTGAAAGAAGAGCAGCTACTTCCTGTAGTTTGTTAAAAAGTGCTTACTGTCTCTTCAGCACCAGTTTGCGCATGCGGATCAGGTACTGAGTGATTTTGGTGAAGCGCTGTTTGCATTTGTGTCGGATGAATCGAGGCCAGTAGATCAAATTCTCATCGATCTGTTCCAGAGCTTTCTCGTAGTTTTTACTGAGCTTCACCTGCAAACACACACAACACACAGATTAAAATGCGTTTCAGCATTTAAACTTTAAACTCGTTTTAAAACTAATAAAACCGTCTGCTCACCTTCTCCCACATCTTGGCAGGAAAAGCTGCTCTCTCGATCACCTTCATGTAGAGGAAACACTGACCTACAAGAGAAATTATTACTAATTATTCATTATTGTTCTTTCCCCTGTTTCAGTGTCATCGTTGTTCCTGAATGTTTACAGCTCTAAACAGTTTGTGGTCGTCAGATTTCTGTTAAACTTCTCTCGTCTAAAACAATAAAATAAAACAAATGTGTGTATCAGAACTTTATTTCTTCGTCTTTCCTCTCTCATTACAGTCCTTGTACATACAGATCTGAGTTCTTCTTCCAGCACTGCAAGAGGGTTGTTAATTTTTTGGGTGTCTAAAAACAGATTAGGGAATATTTTTATTTTTCTATTTTTCAGAAAACATCCTTTTTTCTCCCCCAACTCAGCCTCGTACCTCAGTGTGTGGTGCCCACATAATAATTCTGCTGTCTGATCCCAACGACCCCCCTACTGATGTGGTACCCAGTGTTCCTGCAGGTTTAACGGTTGATGTCTTTACCTTTCTCCTCTCTGATGGTGGCGTACTGACTGTTGGCCAGCGGACAGGACGAGCGGTTGCACAACCCTGTGATGTTGTATTCATTCCGACAGAAGCCCTGATCCTTCGTCCTGCACAGAAGGACGAGAGGAGATGTTACCCGAGCTCGGCCGCAAGAAGCAGGTTAAAACATGTGTTTATAGTGTTGTTACAAGACATTCTGGGTTTATGACTCTGTGGCTGAGGCTCCATCCAAACTCCTACTATTTCGATTTAAAACTCAGACCTTCTGCTACGTTTCCGCCTCCCGTTCAGGCTAAAACGGTGAATCTGAACACCTAAAACAGAAAGGTTTGAAAACGCTGCTGAGCCCGTTTTGGTTTTAAACTCCGGCGTAGCGTTTTAGTGCAGACAGGTGAGAACAGAGGGCGTTAAGACACGAGGACGCTCACGTTTGGCTCTTATCATACTTTATTAAAGTATTCTGTACTGTGTAAATAACACTTCTACACTTTGCAACGCCTCCCAGTCTGTTTCCTGTCGCCAAAGTCTTTGTCCTCCCGTGTTCCTTTCAAAGAAGTCTCTGCTGTGGTTCTTCACCATCGCAGTTCTTTGTTCGTCTCTAGTTGAACTTTTTTCTTCAGCGAAATGTTCTGCAGCTGCTGAGTAGTCAACCTGCTTCCTGTTCACACCGCCATGCACCAGATGTGCGTTTTCAATCATTTTAATGTACAAGGAACAAGGTAAAACGATGGTGTGGACGGAGATCGTAATCGTGTGGATGTAGCCTCAAATGCAATGAGATTAGATGAGACACAAACTACTAAACAACTACCATACTGAATGACTGAATAACCAAATAAATTAATGAGGTGCAGAGACTTACTTGACTTTGTAGGAGCAGAACTGTTTGTTCCCGATAATGTCCCAGATCACCTGCAGGAAGCAGATTCAACACATTTACAGCAGCACAAACGTAATAACAATTCAAAGCATGTTTATATCTGAAATTTTGTTTATGATATCCAGGTCTTCTTCGTCAGTTATACTTTTAATGCAGAATCACAGTCTATAAACACATTACATTTAATATAGTGACACTAATATGCATGTACAAGATATACCAATAAACTGCACATAACTAGAAGGTATCGACAGGTAACGTGTTGCCGAAATTAAATTCCAGTACGACCCTACCAATGTGTGCATCTACTCATGTTGTAACAGCTGTGTCTGTTCGCAGAGAAGCCAAACAACCTTAAAAAATGCTTTTCTATGCCGAAGTTTGGCGTCACACTTGACATGTAAACCGTACAAGATATGTCAATAAATAGTAAATAAATAGAAGATATCGACAGGTAACGTGTTGCCGAATTTAAGTTCCCGTAAGACCCTACCAATGTGTGTGTCGACTCACTTTCTAACAGCTGTGTTTGTTCGCAGAGAAGCCAAACAACCTTAAAAAATGCTTTTCTATACCGAAGTTTGGCGTCACACTTAACATGTAAAACTAGCTTAGTGCCCACGTGTGTGAAATGCTGTTAAAACATTATATTTCTATCCGTATATAATTAGTAAAGATAACCACTGTTAAACACGTAGTCTAGCTACTGAACAGATTAATAAAAAATAACCCAGATTTATCAGTTTTTACATAGTTACCGGTAAGCTAACGTTAGCATGAAGCTTTAGCCGCAGCCGCAGCTTTTAACTCATTTATCACACTTACGTCGTCGTGTTGCATTTTTAGTTCCTCGCAGAGCCGCTAGCAGCTTCACCGCCGAGTCCACCGTGTGTTTACAGGATATTTGATAAGTTAATGTGAAGTTATGACGGAGTTTTTCTGTCTTCGGAGCCACATGGACGGTCAGGCGGCCACCATTTTTGTTTGCGTGGAGCAAGATCACGGAGGGAACAAGTATCGCGATACTTCTTCTTCTGTTCCTCTCCGGCAGACTAGGCTCTGTTAGTGCATTGCTGCCTCCCACTGGTCATAAAGTCTTCAGTAAAGCTCCCCCTGACCTATATTTTCCAATATAGGCCCGTGGCTTTTAGGAAGTGAAATAGTTCCAATGCTCTTTGTGTTTGATTAGAACCATCACCCATCAGAGTTTTTACAGATAATAGATCAACTCCCAGAACCTTTAGGCCAATGAACAACAATCTTCTTTCCTCAGAACATGAGGACAGAACATGAGGACAGAACATGAGGACAGAACATGAGGACATGCTTGACAGACTCCACAGACTTTGCACTTGCCGTCCCTGTGCTTTCCCACCAGGAACAGCCCACTTGCCAATCCACAATGTCTTAATCGGGCCAACTTAATCTGATCCATCCGAGGCAAGATAATTAATTTCCCAGGTTTGACTAATGGTTTTACATCATAGAACTTTCTCCCGCTGGTGTCTTTACTCCACTCGTGTTGCCATTGTTGTGTCAGTCTTTCCTTAATGATGCTACGGCACTCCAGTCTGTCAAATGGCACCTCCACCTCCACATTTTCCCTTCCTAAACTTGTCCTCGCAGCCTCATCAGCCATCTACCTGTCTAACATGAAACTGGGGAACATATAAACCAAAGCCCACTTTCTTATTCTCAGGGTCTCTGAATAAATATCTATGTAGCTACTCCATAATTTCCCAAGATGCTCCAGTACATAATGTGCAACATTTCCTACACTTCCTTCCTTTATTAAATGTTTAATAGATATGTTTAAATCAGCCTCAGGCAATAGCCAATGAGGGATAGATGGCCAGTAGACAGAAGGCACCATTTTCCTTTCATTAAGCTTAAGCTCCTCTGTGATGTCTTAACAGAATGTAAAACACTATATCTATTAAGCCTACTCTCACCCTTTCTAAACTCCCAACACTCTGCTAACAAAGAAACTGAAGGAAGAGCTAAAGACCCAAAGCTTTTCATTTTTACGAAATAATTTAATGCCAGTTTTGCACGTCGCAGCCTTAGCGGAACCTCCCAGTACATGTCCTCAAAGCCCTAGATTGAACCACATCTAACTTATTAAGCGTGGACCTAGCTGCTGATGCATATGCAAGACACCCATAATCAAATCCTGCTTTATAAATCATCAGCATAAGATTCCTGTCTGCACCCCAAGAACACCCAGCCAAACACCTCATAATATTAATAACCTTTCCACATTTATTCTCCATTCTACATACATGTTGTTTATACGTTAGCTTTTCATCTACCCAGACCCCAAGAAACTTGAAGACCCTGGCTCTCTCAAGAGGTTCCCCATTCAACTTAAGACCCAGACTGTCTATATTCCTGCCAAAAACCATATACTTTGTTTTTTTCAATGACAGCCTAAAACCCCACTTATCACTCCAAGCCTGCACCTTATTCAAAGCACACTGCATCTGTTTAAATAAGTACCCAGTATTACGGCCTCTTTTCCACATTGCTCCATCATCTGCAAACAAAGATCGCTGAAATCCCCTTCCTACCTCATCAAACATATTATTAACCATTACATTGAACAGAACTGGACTGATGACACTAACCTGCGGAGTCCCATTTTCTACGAACACAGAGTCAGAAAAGCTCCCTCCTACTCTTACTTGAATACACCGTGTCTTCAGAAAGTCCTTAATCCAATTAATCATTCTGCCCCGAATCCCTGCATCATACAGCTTAATGATTCCTCCTCCTTCTTCTTCATAAACCTTCTCTATATCAAAAAAACACACCTGCCACCACCTCTTTATTTACAAGGGCTGTCTTGATATCATCATCCAACACTAAAACTGAATCCATAGTACCACGAGCAAGTCTGAAACCATTCTGATATGTAGAGAAAAAACCTTTCTTTTCTAATCTCTACACCAACCTGTCAGTAACCATCCTTTCCATAATCTTACAGATAACAGCTGTGAGAGCAATTGGTCCGTATGACCCATGTTTTCAGCTTCCTTACCGAGTTTTAAAATCGACACAATCACTGTGTGTTTCCATTCAGCTGGAACTGATCCTTCCTCCTCCAATGCAAAGTCATCCATATGCCGAAAGACCTCATTTCCCAATCCATCTCTTCCAGGAGCAGTGTGCCGCCCTCGTCTTATTGACCTTCTTAGTCCATGTATGGAAAAGAACACATTGATTACATCACTGTTGTCATTATTCTTGTTAAGTTTATGCCCTTCCTCTCTTTCCTCTCACCCTTAATTTGAATGGCTTTTTCTGCTGCTTTCCTCACGACTCCACAAAGAGAATTACTCCACTCATCAGTACTACCTTGACTAACTACATCATCTAAACTTCCTACCAACTGATCATGATCTGATTAAAAAATTAAACCCTCTCACCGCTCTCTCCTTCTCCACCTGTAAAACACTACCAAATTGATCACTCCCTAAAGTGTTCAGTTCCATAGGATACCAACTCCCACACCTAGCAAGTTCACCTGACGCAAAGGTTAAATCAATACATGACAGCCTCCCAATAATCACCTGAAACCTAGTCGGTCTTCCATCATTTAACACCACCAAATTGTTTTTATCTATAAAATCTTCTATTAAAACCCCATTTCCATCTTTGATTCTGCCGCCCCAAAGAGGATTGAGAGCATTAAAATCTGTCCACACCACTGCAGGTCTCACCTGATCTGTTGTTTCATCTAACGTCTTCATTTCCAACAGAAGACAAGGATTATAAAAATTTACCAATGAAAACCTACCTGCTGTGCTCCATATCTCAATTGCTACACATTCCAATCCTGAGGTAATATTTAATTGTCTATATTGAAAAACCTTTTTTAACAAATATTGCACAACCCCCTCCAGATGAATTTCTGTCTTTACGTAAACAAATGAAACCTGGCATCACAAAATATAAAGACGGTTTTAACCATGTCTCCTGAATGCATTTTAACTGTGGTTTGTTTTTGCAACCATCTACAAACTTCTTTAATTCCTGTCCATTAGCTGTCAAACTCCTGGCACTCCACTGCAGAATACTAAACATTAATAGACTAACTATCAATTTCATCATCATCATCCTCCTTGGCCTCCATTATTTTTTTCCCTTTTGTCTCTTGAGAACACATATCTATAGAGGGCCGCTGGCTCAACCTCTACAACCCCAAGACTCCTCTCAGCAGCCTTCACCGCACTTTTTACAACGTCTGAATTATTCTTAGTCTGCTTCATGTCACACATCACTTCCACAATGAAAGCCAGGAATTTCATCTTACTCACCACCACTGAATCTTCTGTTCTCGTTATGTCACTCAACTCACCACATGTTGCAACCTTTTTGACAGCCTCAGCATAAGACCCCCCTTTGTTAGTCTCCCTAAACTGCTGCACCCTCATCGCCTGCTTATATTGCTCACATTCACGATTTCCAGCTACGTGCCCTCCACCACATGAACCACTTTACCACCTTCTCCTTGCACTCAGAGAACTCGTGTTCTCCTCCACATTTCCCACATCTTCTATTTCCTCTACAAGCAGCTGCAATATGTCCATACCTCTGACACTTAAAGCACCTCAAAGGTGGCCTTCTGTATGGCTGCACTTTAGATGACAAGCACCCTAGAAACACTCGTTCTGGAAGGGCTCTTTCCTGAAAAGAAAACACCACAGTTGATGATTCCCGCTTAGCTCCATCATGAAAGATTTTAATTCGTGTGGCCTGATCAACCTTCACCCCCTCTATTCCCTTCACCAACTCAACCATGGGAACCTCCAGAGAAACCCCATAAATCAGCCCTTTCAAGCCAGCCTTGCTCCCTGGAATAAATCCTTCCCTATCGCATCCAGTGAAACAGCTCTGTTCAACTGAGCCGCAGACTTGCAAGCAGTTTCCCATCAGCCAAAATTCTTGCACTCAGGATATCAGCCAACTCTTCCTTCAATGCCCCAGAGAGAACTAAACCCAGACTCTCCTTCCTTCAACTTAAAAATCACTTTATACTCTTCCGACTGGCTACTGTTTCTTCTCATTACCTTTACCTGCTGATCTCTCCCTCCCTCTGACTTCTTCTTCTTGTTTCCGGCAGACTAGACGCATCTGTGGCGTATTGCTGCCCTCCTCTGTTCGCTATTCACATCTTAACGCTAATTGCCTATCTCCTTTTGTATAAACCAGTTTTATGTAGGTATTCGATCAATTTCTTCATTTTGTTCCAACTATCTAAGTTAACTAGGGTGAACAGTTTCCTCCTTTGGCGAGAGTATTTTCTACAAAGAACTAATACATGCTTCACTGTTTCCTTGTCTCCACATTCACATTTTCCATCAGGGTGTTTACCAGTCAGAGCCAGACACTCCTCAGCCCACAGTGCCCAAACCTCACTCTGGACAGAACTACTGCATCTCTTCTCTTACCTCTAAAAGCACATCTTCCTTTCTCTACAGTTCTTTGTACTGAATAATATTCTCCCCTTTTTTTCCTTATCCCATGATTTTTCCTCCAGCACCGCCTTCTTTGCCACCACATCTGCTTCCTCATTACCCTCCATGTGCGCCGGTACCCACACAAACCCCATCTCATACCCAGCTTTGTGAATTCTATACAACACCTGCATAATTTCCACAAGTTAATCGGGTCTAGATTTCATTTTCGTATCTTTAATTGTAATCAGAGTTGCTGCTGAGTCGCTACATATAACTGAATATTCCTGTTTATTATCTTGGACCCACTTTAAAGCCCATAGCACTGCCACCAGCTCTGCTGTGAAGCCCGACAGATGATCTGGAATCCTATTTATTGGGATGCTTACACCAAAAGCCACTTTAGCGCTCTCAATATCCTTTGACCCATCAGTATAGATTTGTAGGTGGCCTCCCCATATTTGACAAATCCGGGCTTTTATCTCCTTCACTCCCTCTGACTCTTGTGAATCACTAATTTTATTTCTCCTTTTTCCTTTTCTTCCCCTTACTATTTCT